ATCTGTGACCACTGTGGTATTTCAATTCACCACAGGTGCGGCTGAATTCTGCAGTATGGACTCATTTACCAGGCAAAGGGAGAAGTGAGCGCTTCTCTGAACATGAGAAAATGTTATTGGTGCAAGAAGTAAAAAAAACGTGCCCAATTAATATATGGGGACAGTAAAACAGCTCCCAAGTGCCATGATGAAAGTACATTTTTAACCAGCCCTAAAATAACCTGTTAGCCCACTACCCACTCATGTTTACTTATATTCTAGCTGTCCTGAAATAGGCTCAGAAGCTACTGCAACAGCTCACTAATTAAACTGGAGTCATACATGGGTCTAGGCCATGCTGAATGGGCCTATCAGTGCACCTATTCATAGACTTGGACTAATCTATTAATGAATTCTAATTATCCCCAATATGTTGATATGTATGAAACAGGCCTTCACCCTTTAAGGCATGTTTGATTTATAGCATAGGTCCATTTTTTATTTATTTTTTTAAAGGCACTATTAACCCTCACGCTCTCCTCGGGGTCACAAATCTTTGGTTCAGGGACCCAAAGATTTTATATTTTTTTCCCTTCCCGCTCTCTTGGGGCAGGTCAGTCAGACCAAAAAATTATTTTCTTGCCTGGTGAGAATTTATTTGAAAATAAATTTTTGGGTCTGACCTGCTATAGCTGATTCCAACGAAGACCCAGATGAAGATGAGGACTGGGAGTTACCTCAAGCTCTGATCCAGCCAACCTCATTCACCTTTGAGAGTGTACGTCCAACCAGTCCACTGCCTCAAGCTGATCCCACATCTGTGTCCACCGCTGATCAGCCTGTCGAGTCTGTACCTTCATCCATGCAATCAAACTCACCTTTCACAACTTACCTGATGATGGGGATACCTCTGCCGAGTCCAAAGCTTCTCAACCTGGTGAACTGGAACCTGGTCTACCAGCTGTACCTGGTCTGGAGGCCAGTCTACCAGCAGAGCGGACAGAGCATCCTTCTAAAACTTTCTGCTGAATGTACGTTTACTCTTTTACTTGTTATTTCATCATGTCACTGCTGTAGATATATATATATACTATATATATATATATATATATATATATATAATATATATATATATATATAATATATATATATATATATATATATATATATATATATATATATATATATATATATATATATATATATATATATATATAATATATATATAATCACCCTTTGCTTTGTTGAAAATATTTTTGTTAGTTACTTACCCTTGTTTTTTGCTCCATAATTCAATTTATTTTATTTTTTTAACTTTAGTTTCAAGAAATCCTAAAATAAACATTAGCATTCATGGTTTGTAGACATATATACTACACTCTTGTTTCACCTGCAGTGTTAGACAAATTATAACACACAAATGAATAGGCAATTTCTAAAAGGAAGAAGGAAAAAATACAGTGACATCTAGAAGGAAAAAACTAAACCATTTTCTCAGTTTTCCCAGATTTGATCAGAGTTACTATCACCAACAGAGCCCAAAGGAAATCGTCATTTGCAAATGTTTTCCAGTTTTGTGACATAAGTGTGAATAGATCTCATTGTGTCCATGTAGTGGTTAACTTAAAGCTTAGCTTAAAGCTTAAAAACTACAAAAAAATGACCTTTTACACCTCCCTGTGAAAAATACAAGCCCATGTGTTTTCACTCTTGGAATGTTATAACATGGTAAAAAGACAAAAAAGTCAGTTTTGCAAGATGTGTGTTTGTCACTTCGGCCTTTTGGCCACATAATACAAGTCCTTTTAGCCTTTATTACCTAGCAGAGCAAAGTAACATTGAGTATGAGGTGAAAGACTGTATTCTGAGTAAAAGGAAAACATCCCAATTAAATGATTCATTATACACAATGTACAAATATAAGAGGCAAGTACTGCAGTTACATAAAGGGGTAAGTAGATAGCACAGTTTACAGCCAAGTAGAACATTTCTGCAATGGAATACATTGCCAAACTCCACTGAGCTTTAATTTTAACTAGATTTTAGACTTTTTTACAGTTATTATTTATAAACCTGACTTTATGTGCATTTATTAATGTCAGTAATGAACCGCTGTGAATGAAATGCAAATGCATTTTAAGATGTTTAGTGTGGCATTTATTTAACAATCTAACTAACCATCTAATCCTCGACCCAATCAAACTCTTTGAATTATGTCTAAGAACAAGGACGCAGTTCAAATGATTCCAAACATGTACACAGGCAAGTACATTCATTTGAACTCATATTCACACACATCTTTTTAAAGTCTGCATTTGCACAGTAACTGCAAAGTTGTTTTCTTGCTTTATTTCTTTGTCTGATTCTGAAACCGGACACAATATAGTCTTATAACTGACAGTTGGCTTGGGTTCAACCAAAACTATTTCAGGGACGGTTTAAGTGGGATCAAGATGTAACAATCTGGGTAAAAGTGAATGATTTCCAATGAAGTGAATGCTCAGAGAATGAGAGTGTAAACAGGATCACTGAAACAACCATGATAAATGGGTTAATAATTCTGAACACGTCACCTTTAAATGGGACAGATTAAAAATAAAGGATTTACTCAAAGGGTTAAATAAAGAAGGATTACTCAAATATTGCATAACTCCGAGTATAGTTCTGATTAGGTACATTTTGCACTCTTCAAATGATGACACAGAAGAAAGCGTGCCCTGGTGTGAGACGGGGGTCACATGACCAACTGCTTCCAGGTCAAGGCAAGGCAAGGCTCCGGGGGTGGATGAGATCCGTCCTGAGTATCTTATGTCTCTGGATGTTGTGGAGCTCTCTTGGCTGACACGCCTCTTCAATGTTGTGTGCCAGTTGGGGACAGTGCCTCTGGACTGGCAAACTGGGGTGGCACTTCCCTCGGCAGGTGTTCGGGGCATGTCCCACTGGGAGGAGGCACCGGGGGAGACTCAGGACACGCTGGAGGGACTATGTCTCTCGGCTGGCCTGGGAACGCCTCGGGGTCCCTCTGGAGGAGCTGGAGGACGTGTCTGGGGTGAAGGAACTCTGGGAGTCCCTGCTAAGCCTGCTGCCCCCGTGACCTGGCCCCGGATAAGTGGAAGAAAATGGATGGATGGATTGGCTGAAGCTCGATTCTCCACTAAATGTATGCATGAGATCAAATATGAGGAATTTGTACAGGGGCTTAAAAGATGCATTAGCTAGTTTACTGTCATTAACACAAGTTTCAGATGACATTATTCAGTTTTGGACATATGCTGCTCAAGTGCTCTGGATGACAGGTTAATGGCCCATGTTACTCATCGTTCAGAACCAGTGACTCTAATTCTCTCGACATTTCATATCTCACAATTTAAACCATTTTTTTCAGTGACCTTTGCCTTTGTCATACCTGTATCCTGCTCTCATCTGCCTTTTGCACATTTTTGGAAATAAACCTTGTAAACCTTGTGTCTGCCTTGAAGGTTTCTGGGTCTCTAGTGGTTATTACAATTACCTGTGAATTCTGAGCAGAAAATGTTGACTTCTATGATAGTGTCAGGCTCACCTGAGAGTCTCCAGTTTACAGAAGATGCTTTTCAGCCCAGAGCACAGAAACTCTTCTGAGTCCTGGAGGTCGTTATTGCTAAGATTCAGGCATCTAAGACTTGAAGAGATTAGGACTGAGGACAAAGGGCCACAGCAGCTCTTGGACAAGTACAGGTACTCAGAAACAAGAGAGGACATGTAATTTAAAACTAGGGATGTCCCGTCCACGTTGTCCACGTTTTTTTGCCTCCGAGTCATTTGATTTTAAGTATCTGCCGATACCAAGTACCAATACGATACTTCTATAAAACATTAGGAAATGAACTAAGAGCAAAGAATAGGATCCAGGATGTTTGGGGGGATCAGATTGTGTTGATTTCAATGTGTAGTATTTTAGTTTGAAAAATCAAATGTCCAAAACTTAAATTTTATTAGCTTTTCTAACCATGCATCACCACTGTTGAAAATCTTGACTTTTCACAGTCTGGTCTTAGAATGTCTAACTTGGTAAACTTAATGAACTGAACAAAACAGGAACCAGACCAGAATCAGATCAGACCTGAGACTCGACTCTGCACAATCTACAGTTTGTACATTTGATATTATATGGAAGCATGCGCATTATGTTTGAAACATTTAAGCTCGTCTATGATCTCCAAATAAAACAAAATCTTACCAAATTAAAATGAGATGACATTTATTTTTCATAACTCTCTTTGTGCAGCCCCATAGGTCATTCTGTACCTCTGGGGGCACACGTTAATATCTGTGATATTTATAACTCACGCTCTCCTCGGGGTCACATTGACCTGCAGAATGTTTTTTTTCCCTTCCTGCTCCCTTGGGGTGGGTCAGTCAGACCCAAAAAATTTATTTTCAAATAAATTCTCGCCAGGTGAGAAAATAAATTTTTGGGACTGATTGACCCACCTCAAGACAGCAAGAAGGAAAAAAAAAATTCTTAAGGTCAATGTGACCCCGAGGAGAGTGTGAGGTTTAATGTGTAACTGATTGACAGGACTTCTCAGGAACTTTGATTCTTACAGTATAATGTAGTAGAATACCACATTCACCTGCAGTGAGACTAGAGTTTAAGACTGTAGTTGTTACTCTCGTGCCCACACCCGATAAGCACCGCCCCCACTCCCCGCACTGCCACCACATCCACAAACCCACAGTGCTGTGTGTTATATACGTATATCATTTATCAGATACCTGATCGGAACATAACATCCAAGTCCGGATCGAAATCACACTCACGTGATCGGCTACGATTTCCGATCACATGATTGGATCGGGACAACCCTATTCAAAACCTGTTTGTTTGGGTGTTTTTTTGGCATTGAGCCTATCATGTAAAACTCACAGGGCTCTGTTGGAGGCTTTAACAATCAGCACCAGTGTCAGAAAAATATTGAAATACAGTAGTAGTTCTTAAGGTGAAAAACCTCTAGATCTTTTTAAAATTTTTATTGTTATTATAATTTTGGGAGGGGAGAGGTTATGTTCTGATGAATCTGCTTTACCAAAGAACAGTCCCGCAGTTCATTTAGACAATGAAACAGATTAATGCTTCGCTCTGCTTCTTGTTTTTCATGAATCCTTGTCTTGATATACTCCACAGTTTTCTTGATGGTTTGTGAGCTAACTACTGTCTGAGGAAGCAAACCCTGTAGGAGACACTGATTTACCGACAGAGACAGACCCAAGAGGAAACGCAGAAACAGGTCCAGATGTCCATTTGGGCTCTTTAAGGCCTGGTCCACTGCAGACTGCAGAAACTCTACCAGTTGTTGAGATTTTATTTTAACGATAGACTTGGGTGAAATTGGTATTTTTCCCCATGATAACAGATTGACTCCAGACACGATGAAGGTGAGATAAACATGAAGTGCAGCCAGGAACTCCTGCACACTCAGATGTAAGAAGCAGTAGACCTTGTCCTGGTACAGGCCTGGCTCCTCTCTAAAGACCTGTGTGAACACTCCAGAGTACACTGAGGCCTCTTCAGCATTCAGTCCACACTCACTCAGATCTGACTCATAAAAGATCAGGTTTCCTTTCTGCAGCTGCTCAAAGGCCAACTTCCCTAGAGACAGGACCATCTCCCTGGTCTCTGGAGTCCAGGGAGAGTCTGTCTCAGAGCAGCTGTTATACTTGATGCCCTTCACTTTGGCCTGGACCACCAGGAAGTGAATGTAGATCTCGGTCAGAGTTTGGGGCAGCTGGTGTGTTATGCCATTTTGTATCACATGGTGCAGGACGGTGGAGAGGATCCAGCAGAAGATCGGCATGTGGCTCATAATGTGGAGGCTGTGGATGCTCTTGATGTGGGAGATGACGACTGTGACCTGCTGCTCATTTTTAAAACTCTTCCTGAAGTACTGCTCCTTCTGAAGATCAGTGAACCCTCGCACCTCTGTCACCATTGAGACACACTCAGCAGGGATCTGATTGGTCGCTGCGGGTCTTGTGGTTATCCAGAGGCGAGCGGAGGGAAGCAGGCTCCCTCTGATGAGGTTCACCAACAGCACGTGCACAAAGCTGGACTCTGTGGGGTCAGTCAGGACCCGGGTTTGCCTGAAGTCCAGAGGAAGTCTGCACTCGTCCAGACCGTCAAAGATGAAGAGCACCTGGAGCTGTTGGAAGCTGCAGAGATGTTTGGATGGACTGAAGAAGTGGTGCAGCAGCTCCACCAGGCTGAACTGTGTGTCTCTGAGCACATTGAGCTCTCTGAAAGTGAAAGGGAACAGCAGCTGGAGGTCCTGGTTGGTTTTGCCTTCAGCCCAGTCCAGACAGAACTTCTGAGTGAGCACTGTTTTCCCGATGCCAGCCACACCTTGAGTCAGAACTGTTCTGATTTGTGGCTCTGTAAGCATGATATCTTTTTCATTTGTTTCTTTTCTGAATGACCTGTGTGCTGTGTCTGTAAGATCAATTCTGGTTTGTCCCTTTTTGTTGGTGGTGCATTCTGGTGTGGCTGGTCTTCGGCATGTGGTCTCGATGAGCTGTACCTCGTGTTCTTGGGTGATCCCTGTGAGCCCTCCTGTGATAAATAACTCTGTGTAGATCTGGTTTAGGAGGGTTGGGTTTCCTGGCTTTGCAGTGCCCTCAGACACACAGGTGAACCTCTGTTGGAGAATTCTCTTGAGATTTTGGCAACAAACTCCTAGATTTTCACCTGGAAAACAAAATGAAATGAGATCTAGAACCAAATCTGACACTGGTGATCTCAAGAGTATTCTTAGGGTGCACTCACACTTGGACTTTATAACCATGTCGTTCTTAAGCATGATTGCGTAGGGTTCTATGGCCCGCACTCACACTTGCACATCCGAACCAGGCCACGGGCCGATGACAACGCCACACGCCGCTGTTTGTTTACATGTGCTCCTCTGTGAGTTTATGGAGATAAAAACAGCACAGAGCAGTGAGGACAGCCCGAGACGAGACGCAGATAAACTTATCTGTCCTTATTGAAGGTGAGCATGGGTTTGTCATGTGTTTTGGAGCACATTTTATTCACTTATTTCCTCAAACTGCTTTGGCCCACCTCCTCCAATCGGACCAAAGTTCCATCAGTGTTGTGCCTGAACATGGTTCGATTGCGCTCACATTGGACAAATGTACCGGGCTTTAGGGATGATCCATGCTTGAGCACAGTTGTAAAGTCCTAGTGCGAGTGCACCCTTACTGTTACTTACCGTATAGCAGGTGCTCAGCCAGCTGTTCCTGCTTCTTCCTTCTCAGAAAGTCCAGGCTGATCTTCAGAAAATGCCCTCTGCTGGTCTGCTCCTCATCTTCCTCCCTCTCAAACCACTCTGGGGGATCTGAGTCAAAAGGCCTGAGTAAACTCCTTAACTCGGTTTTAACAATTGTAATTTTGTTTTCCTGTAAAATCTGAAAACACAAAGTCAAATCCTACTTCCTAAACAAGAGCAGCATGTCCAGAGTGTTGAATGGAAGTCATTTGTTCATACAAACCATGAAGATGGCGTCCAGCTGAGTCCTCTCACTTGCACGACCCTCTGGACTTTCTCTGCTGGAAAAACACACACATATGCTCATCCACGTGTGTAGAAATGTACATCTAGTACACTTGATAGCACTGAAAGTCACAGATGAATTTAGCTAAATGAATGAGTGGATATTATTTACTGACAATATTAGCACCAATACACAATGTGTAAGACATGTGAATATTATGCAGTTTTATATAATAATACTGTGATAAGCATGAAAGAAGCATTCAAGTCTCTTCCTCTCCAGCAGGAGATTTGGTCAGGTAATGAAATCCTGGTATAAGTGGGATTTGATCTGAAGACCTCAGTCGTATACCTGATATATCTGACATATTAAATGCAGGTGAATTATTTATTGTTAAAATCAAACTGCCGCCACAACTGTGAGACAACTGTCTGAAAACACAATGAAATGTTCAAAAATGAATGAAGAATTTGCTTCTATTTGACTTAACACCTGGACTGATCCACCACAGGTGTTTTAAGTTTTATGGACAAAAATTGCTCAGGACCAATGACAAATAGGACTTGCTTTCCTCACCTAGGATGATCACAAGGAGCTTCACTGTTAAACTCCATGTATCGGCCCATGGAGCGGTCACTCTTCAAAGACAGACCATCAGAACCAGCCACAGGATTTTCCATCTTCTCCCTGAAAAGTCAGATCATTTAACACTGTGCCCCTTTTTGAAGTTCATGTATAATCACTAGTTTAATTATTTGCATTTACATATGTACTGCTCAGATTTAAAAGGACGACTTGTGATCTGAGGTGGCCTACATGAGTGATGAGAGTTATGAATGTGTGTTTTGATGCTTCTTTTCTTCTCATTGGTTAGCACTTACCTGACATGCTACACAAACATTGCTGTCCACTATTGACTTCATCTTGACTTCATCTTACCTCTTTGTATTCATTAGTAAAGGGGGCCATGTTTTCTGCCCCCGCAATAGCTTTCATTATATTTCTTACACTTATCCCCTCATTACTTCACATTGTCTTGTCACTAATGCTTATGTTTTCGTAGTGCCGTGGTGTGACTCAGTTGTGTTAACAGCACTGGTTGATTGCCCAGATGTCTATCAGAGTTCAATGTGCATAATATCCCAGGAATGCCCACGTTTTCCTCGCAGGCCAAAATGAATATGCATTAGCAGGTCAAGGGTCAATTTAATGACAGTTTGCACATAAAATGTCTGCAAATAAATCTTTGATTCATTGAATTTTGAGTTTAATATTAGGAAATGGACAGGACTGACCTCTTTCCCATCTACTGATAATCTTTTCAATTAATAAAATCAAAATAGATTTTTATTAAAATATCAGGGCCCCCTCGCAGGTCAAATTAAACACCCTGAAGCCCCACTTTGTAACTTTACTCTGATCTATCTTTGTATATTACTGCAGTCTGTGTCAGGGCCCATGCAGGAACAGGAATATACTTTAGACCTTGTGCTAACATATGGCCTTGTTCTTTGTCATTTAGAGGCTGTTGATGCTGTTTTTTCCGACCACATGCCAATTCTGTTTGATGTGCATCTCCTTGCTAATGGAGTTAAACCGTGCGCTCCGGTGCGCCACCATCATGTCTTCAACTTGTCCACTGCTGCTCAATTCTACTAGGGCCTGCCTGATATTGTTTTCTTCTTCTTTTTTTTTTTTTTGCGGCTGATATGATACCAATGAAACAGGAGTTGGAGGTGCCGATAGCCGATATAAAAGCAGATTTATTTGGTGATGTGAAAATTCACTGTAAATCCTCAGTTGATTATAAAACTTAGGTCTGGCTCTACCAAATTTTAAATTGGGTTTGTTTAGGTGACATTTACTGTTATTCTGCCTCTTTAAGTCATAATTAAAGACAGTAGGTCAGCCTAATGGTATTTTTGCATGACGTTCTATCCAGTAAACAAAGTAAGTAAACTACAGCTATTAAGACTTTAGCGTTAAATGTGTGCATGCTGCGGTAATTAATTATATGCATAAATGCTGATCATTCACACTTCTATTCACACTCAGCTCATTTACATATCAGTGTGTGTCCAGTAACATGTACAGACACTATAGTCACTTTACACTGGGCCAATGTAAGAAAATAGACTGTCTGTGTGTGAGAGCTACAGCAGCTAAGAGCTAAACAACGAGACACGATTGCAACACAAGTCCTAGTTAATAAAAAAGTTGTTTTTTTAGCTGTAAAGTGCTAGGTGCGTGGTCTTAAGTGCTCTGAGAATTTAGATGTTTTAAAGTGCACGGTGCTACTACACTGCACTGTGCTCTATTGCACAAACCACCCCAGCCAATAAATATATACACCTTATAGCAACTACTACACTAGCTCTACAGATAAATTAATTTACGGGTGAACTTTGAGATCATTTGAGAGAATTTAAGAGAATTTCAGAGCAGAAATAAACAGCAGCAGCATAATCTGCCACATACAAATACACAAATTACCACACAAACGCCATTAAACACCACCCACCCCCAAATATGCACCAGTCTCTACCTGGATTCTAGTAAAGTACCCTATATGGGGCCAGGGGCGCGTTAGGAGCAGCCGCCGTCACCACCACCTGCTCTAGACAACACTTTTAAAACGTAGTACAGTCATCTCTCGCTATAACGAGGTTCACCTTGCGTGGTCTTGATGTTTCACAGATTTTTTTTGTGTGCAATTTTGCATGCTTTTTTTTTTTTTTTTTTTACAGTGTATGAACGCGTATTGCAACCTGATTGGCTGAGGGACTCCTGTCTCCTGTACAGTACAAAATGTGTTCAGTCAAATGTACATAAATGTTGGATCTGTATCAGTGTGATTCTGAAGTGCTGTATGTTTGCAAGTTTTCTCTCCGACAAAACCCACAATGTCGATGAAACGATCTGCACTGACAAAAGCTCCTGCAGTCACACCCAAAAGGCAGAGGAAGATGTAACCATCGCACAAAAAGTTGGACTTCGTAACGTGAGCCCACGCAGTGCTCCAGCTACAGCTGCGTTTTTACCTTCGTGAGGTGTGGAGCTGAGCCGGTCCTTTCTCCTGCGGTCATCTTTGAGCCTGTGAGTCCTGTTTCAGTTCTGGTTTAGTCCTAGTTCAGTCCTCCTCTTCAGTCCTGGAATTAGTCCTGGTTAGTCCTTGTTTAGTCTTGGTTCGGTCTGTGGCGTAGGCAGCTCAAAAATTTGATATAATCTCGGGTTAACGGGCAGGTGTGGTGTTGTTGTGGTGCAGGACTTTGCGCTGTAGGGCTCAAATACATAATAAATGAATCTTTAGTTTGTTAAATAAAGAACGAAAATAACAAAAGGACAACAGCAACAATACGTTTTAAGGATACAGAAAGGGTTGTAACTGTCCTCTCTGAGAAAAGTGTATAAAGTGTGTGCTGAGGGGTTTTACAGCTTTAAAACAGATTTAATCATTGTAAAATATAAAGTTGACTACCTCACTAACCCTCGATAAACAAGGGACTGTAACCAGAAACGTCGCATTAAGTTAAGTTCTAAGAGAAATATTGAAAAAGAACAATTCCGGTACTTACACGCGCCGCTTTCACTAGTCACCAAAAGCCCCGACTGCGTCTCCACAGTGTTTGCAGCCTTTTCTAATCGCTAATCAGTGACTCAGGGGCCACACACAGCGACATGCAGGTGGACACATTCACGGCTGCACTACTGTAGGAAAATATAATCTAACCACCCGGCTACACAATCATGTTTGTTTATTTAGTCACATAGCCACACCCACAGCCTGACTGTTAGTGTAATCTGGGATCTCACAGGTTGTGACATGACCAAGCCAAACCTCTGAGCAAATTGTAAACTTGTAGACAAACAGGAGAGATGAATCACATACAGTACAAGACAAGCCAACTTATATTCACAGTTTATAGCATAATATGGTTTGTAGACACTGAGGACAAGGACACGTGGGGAACAAGTTCTGTGTATAATTGTAAGGAAAAGGGCGCATTTTTAAAAGACAGACAAATATAAAAATATAAAAATAATAAAAACATAATATAATAAATGAAAAGCAAAATGAAGTATCTCTTCATGCTGAGTGCTGAAGACTTGCACTCAGCTAATGTTAATCATTTTAATAATACTCTATAAGTAACACATTACTCCATAAGTAATGCAAACATTACTTACTCCATAAGTAGTGAATGCGTAGGATTCTCATTATTCCTTGTTTGGGGGAAAATGGGAGTGATGGAGCTGAAAAAAACTTGTTCTGATCAACGTTGTTCTACTGATTTGCCAGCTTTAGTGCTCGCTGTTTGCACGTGGGCCATCAGCCAGGTGCTGTTCACTCAATACACAATAGATCCTTCTCCTGTGCAACCCCACCTGCCTGTTCTCAGATTCTGTTGGTTCAAAATTGAAACCATGCTTGTATTACTTACTCCATAAGTAAACACTGTAATGTTTGTGTTACTTATGGTGCAAGTAATACAAACATGGTTTCAATGTTGAACAAACAGTAAAACACGGTTTTAGTGCTGACAACAGCGCTGGCTAATGTTGTAACTTCATGTTAACCTCACAGACGAGGAGGGTTGGTCTGCAACATGGTCATTCCCTAAAACTCCTGTTAGCGTGTAATCAAACAGTCACAAAAAGTTTTGCACTTTTCTGCTTTTACGCTTCATCTTGGCAAAAGTCTGTGCTGTCTATGGTCGAAGCAAAGCAGCAGCACATGTGTTTCACCAGAGGTTATGTCCGTAAGTATCATTCATTTGTGCAGTTTCAACAGTTCCAGTGGTGCCAATGAAAGAACCAAGTGAACAAGTTAGTTAATGTTAGTGCGGCATGAGCCTTGACAATAGCTATTGATACCAACAACGAAGTTACTATAACAGGTTAGAAACTCTGCTTTTGGGAAACTCTTTGGATAAAAGTGTCTGCTAAAAACAGAAACACCGCTGTAGAACTATGGCCATGTGGCTGATCAATAGCTAATGTCAAGGCCCATGCTGTGCTGTCGTTCACTAACTTGTTCACTTGGTTGTTTCATTGTCAGTGTACAAACCAGAGAGGCTCTGATCACATTCTAACATCATTCTGTTTCTTTACATTTAACATGATGCTGGAACTGCTCAAACTGTACTAATAAACAATACTTACAGACATAACCCAAGTACAGCATTAACATTAGTATTTGTCATGAATGCTGTTTTTTCATATCCACATGATGCACTCACAGCAGTCGACCTACTACTGTGTTGAAAATGCTGGAGGAAGTAAGCAGTACAATATAGTTTTTTTCAGAAGGGGACATAAGCTATTTTGAGAAGTAAAATAATGCACTGTACAACCCAACATTTTACTGCACGACGTTCGGTGGCGGCTTAGCGTTTAAACTTGAAGTTCCTGCTTTTATTTTACTGCTCGATTTATTCACAGACATATATACATCTATACATGTCTGTGGGTTTAACGCTAACGTCAATGTACAACTCTTACTTTGACATATATGTTAGACTGCATGTTGACAGTTCCTCGTGAAGAAGAAACACCCATTTATGTTCTGCAGACCAACAGTATCACAGACAGTGGCACTTTCTGCATTCAGACTGCATGTACATCCACTGTGTGGATAAACTCATAATCTGTCCCTAGTTTAATATTAACATGAAAGACAGGTGGAGTTTGCTGTTGAACTGTCAGATTTCAAATGTGTTAACCTGGTTTATGGTTAAAACTGTTATGTTTTGAGTAATGATGATCCCAAAGCAGAGACGAAGACAGTTTTAACAGTTTTATTTAGAGGGTTTTTGCAGGTTGAGGTGATGGAGGCAGGCTGGACGCAGGCTGGTCCAAGAACTGCAGCAGAGGCTCGGGCAAGATGACCTGGACACAGATTTGCAGGTAAGTAAAAGCACTGGTAAGTAATAGCAGTGGATTTCAGAGAGGAGAGCACTACTGCGTGAGATGGGATTATCTGGCAATGAAGAGAAGACAGAGTGGAGTCTTTATACTCGAGCTGATCCTGAAGGAGCTGCAGGTGCCACTCTGCTGCAGGAGGCTCCAGCCACGCCCCCGTCACACCAGCCCTGCAGAGAAACGCAAACACAAAGAGAGGAGGAACAAGCAAAGGCACCAAACACTAACAAGCGCCATGTTAAAGTATTGTTACCTTCTCAAAACAGAGCTGGAGTTATTTTATTTCATATTATTTGTTTCATTGACACGTTTGAGTAACATTTTATTATTAGTCTTTCTACATCTACAAGATTCTCTGTTCCACCTTGTGATGTCATGAAGCTGTAGTTTTGACGTGAACAGCTCCTTTTACCTTTAGTTCAGTAGAGATTGGCAATCCCAGGTCTGAAATGATTCTAGTGAAGATGTATAGGGTTTAAAAACACAGTGGAGCTTTTCCTGTATTGCCACGTGACATCACAAGACATGACACAGAGTGTTTTCTGTTGGAGAAGCAAACTCAGCCTAAATGTGCAGGTTTGTGTGTTAACCATGTGTGAATGGAACGAAACACAACTCCAGGTCTGTGTGTGACGAGGAAACATTAGAACAGATCAGAAAATCATGTGATATGGGCCGTTTAGTCCAACTGCAACAACTCAGCTAATCTACTTGAACACCATAGTTTTCTCCTGATGAAAAGAGACTCTTCTGTATAGATGTTTTTATGTAAGTATTTAATATGGAGTGAAGAAATACTGCTCTTTAATTCATATATTCAATATTGGCCATTATTTTCAACACAATTGAGACCTAAAATAATTTTTCAGTTTGATTTTTTTTAAAGAATTCTTCAGAGAGCTGTGGACAACAGGATATGGTGATAGTGAGCACACAAATACAGGACAACACAAGTTTATTAAAACATGAAACATACAAGAGTCAAATAAAAACAAATGCAAAAGTAAATGATGACAGAAATAAAGCCCCACAAAAAAGTGATAATATGAGTCATGAGCTGAACATTATCTGAGGGTGTGATGTTTACTGAAAGCAGTAAACATCACACCCTCATCTAGTGATCTCTCTCAGGCTACTGCTCCACTGAACACAAAACTGTACACACAACTTGATGTCACTTCTGAGTGTCAAAATGAAAGTGAAATATGTCATACAAGTGTAATAATCCCTTAAATAACATTTTAAATTAAACTGAAGTGTAAGAATTATTGAATTAAGAATATTGTGACTATCATAAAAAATGTAAGTGGGACTAAACACTAAATCCACTTTTTTGCTACTAAACTGTGTATATGTTGTTTGAATAGTATTATCTGCTGCTCCTGGTCAGTTCGGGCAACTTTAGTGCAAACCAAGAAAAAATTTACTGCTTTCTGGTTAAAAATGTGTAAATGTACAGACAAAGCGGAGTGTCCACAGAGGGCCACAGACTGGTGCTCAGTACTGTGCATAACTCAAATATGTGCTTTTGTTACAGGTTAGAATGAGCCACCTGATCTTTGGCAAAAGGAGAAGTAAAATTTGTCAACTGGACAAAAGTTTATTGTGTCAACTTGGACGAGCTACAAAACGTTTTCCACCAAATAAACATTTGAATTTGTCCTTTTGCCGTGGATTCTACCTGGACGACTGAGGGATTCTACACCCACCAGATCTTTATTCACATTAATACCGCTGTCACACCTTGACGATTTAGCCAGCGTATGTCGACGTATGAAAAATTTGGCAAATACACTGGCGTACGTCGGATAAGTTCTAGGTAAGTTTAGTATAAGTTCTGAGCACCATAAAACACGCTGAAGCACGCTGGCGTACAGCGACATACGGCAAGGTCGTCGGAAAATTTTGAGCATGCTGAAAATTTCTCGACTTATGTCAGCGTATGTTTATACGTCCTGCATATGCGGGGAAAAGTTGTAGGTAAGTTATGCGATTGTTGACACACATTAATTGTAAGTTTCTCATAAGTCCAAATACGTTGAGAAAAAGTGGAGCTTATGTCTAGCATGACTTATGAGTAACGTGCTTTGAACCTGTGTGTAACTTATATCGAACTTATCTCCAACGTATATTGATGTACGCAGACGTATTTGACATGTTTCAGACAACCGCAGAACTTACTGAACGTGTTTCTAACTTGTAGCTACCGTATAATGTCGTATTGGCAGCGTTTAGGAGAATCGGTATAAAAATGGGGAGGAAACTGTCACTACTCCTCCAGACTTTGTGCTCCCATATATCATATGAGCCGATGCAAAACACTTGATCAGAGAATACTTCGGCCACAGAGGACATCAGACAGTGGGAAAATGTCCTCACTGAGAGCTGTGGGAAACAGGCATTTGCATTTTAAAAAAAGAGCGTCATGTTGGCGATCTGCGGAGAACACCATACAGCCTAACCGATCAATTCATTGTGCCAGCTCAATAAAAAGACTTTATTACTCACTCTGTATTATCCATAGAATTTTTCCTCAGCAAATAATGACATCCAGTCAACAACACCGCACTATTAATCCATTTGAGTCATTTTTTTAAAGTAAAAAGGAGAGAGTGCCATGTGTGTTTGTTTACGTCCAGCGCGTGTGAAGCTGCGGTTTAGCGATAGTGACTCTACTTCCTGTGGACTTTATCTCCAGTCTTTTATGCTTTAAAAACCATGTATCTGAAGTACTGCACCACATTTCACAAATAATAATAACACAGTTTTGTCTTGTATCTAAACTAGAAGTGCAGAGCTCTGAGATCTACAAGTGCAGTGGTGAGTGGTTTTACTGTAGACAGCCTGTGCTCTGCATACACATCCCACTGTTTATACCGACCGATCAATCGATCTGTTGCATTCAGCACCATGTACAGAGAGAGATTGATATGATATATGATATGATTTAGATCGTTGAGTGGCAGCCTTTTAATAGGCGACGACACGCGACGACTGAGATACGCTGTTGTGCTCAATGCATAGGTTAGGCATAAATTGTGGACGCTGGCAACACGTTACGCATTAGTTGGTATAAGTTATCTATAAGCAGTGTTGGGAAGGTGACTTTTAAAATGTATTCCCTCACAGATTACAGATTACATCCCCCACTATGTAGTTTGTAACGTAATCCATTCAATTACTTAAAGTGAGTAATGTAATCTGAATACTTTGGATTACTTGATATTGTCATGCTTTTTAAAACGACATGAATGTAACAACCACATCCTGAAAATTCTTGTTTTTTCTCTTCATATTGTCTGTTGAGCCCAAGTCTCCATGAACAGACAACTGTTTACTGTAGAGAAGCAAAGACGAGGATCTGAACATAAGATGTTTTGTTTTATCTGAGAAAAGAAAAGAAAAAGCCCAGACTTTACTTAATCATATTAAAAATATTATTGACAGAGAAATGATTTTTATATGAGATCACTGCTGCCTGAAATTATGTCCACCTACTGTTAGTGTCATATTGTTTAGACCTGGTTTAGTCCTGCTATTAGACTTGGTTTAGTCCTGGTTTAGACCTGGTTTAGTCCTGCTTTTAGACTTGGTTTAGTCCTGGTTTAGTCCTGGTTTAGTCCTGCTTTTAGACTTGGTTTAGACCTGGTTTAGTTGTGGTTTAGTCCTGGTTTAGTCCTGGTTTTAGTCCTGGTTTTAGTTCTAGTTTAGTCCTGGTTTAGCCCAAAATGTGAAAACAGGAAACCGCCCTGTAATCTATTTATTTCAACAAAATAACTGTAATCCAATTACCACTCATGGAAACAGTAACTGTAACTTAATACAGTTACTCATAATTTGTACTCTGATTACGTAACTCCGGTATATGTAATCTGTTACTCCCCAACAATGTCTATAAATTATCAAAACATTCTATATAAGTTACTGATACATTATGTATACGTCGAACTCGTTATAAATATGCAATGTACACGCCCAAAATTGAAAAAAAACATCGATGGTTCAGCGTATGCCAGCGTTTTAGGGAAATTCTGGTACGTCAGTGTAGCCCATCTATATAATATATTTTGATGACATGTTAAATTATGTAGTATTTATCAATTACAGTATATGCACTGTTAATTTATTAAATTTGAATGTAATTAATACACTGTAGCATCGAGAGCAGCCAGGAAATGGGTGGTGCCAATAGTTGGGGGTCCAGCTATAAAAGTAGGTCCAGTGTTGTGAGTGTGGCCTGCGCTCAGGTGTTGTAGCCCTGCGTGCCTCGCATGTAATGAACCGCTTTGATAAAATAAACGTTGCAAAACGGAACTATTCGCCTGGATTATTTAAGAGTGCAACATCAGCATACGTTTTTTAAATTGTCAAGGTGTGACAGGGCCTTTAGATCCTTATTAGGACACACCAAATATGTGATAATTGGTCTATAAAGGTAGATTTTATGGTATGGGCCAATTCACCTAGAGCCCTGAACACCAAGAAAAAAAAAAAGGTCTGAGGGCCACATTTAGTTTAATAGTTTAATAGTTTTGACAAGCCTAGACCACTCACACGGACCTCCCCCTTTATTATTCCAGTTTATCAGATCTGTTTGAATTGTGGGTGGAGTTTAGTCGTTTAGTTCCACTCGATGTAAGTAGAAATAGAATATCATGCCGTGTTCATCTAAAAACACAGAGGATAACAAAGTCCACACTTGAGTCCACACTTGCGTCTCCGTACACTGAAGATACACAGTACACAGTGTCTGTCACGAGTAGCACTATGTCCCACTGTCTCAGGTGGGCTTGAAGGGGTCGGTGGGGGTGAAGTTGTTGCGGGCGTGTGCGAAGATGGCCAGAGTGCCCACGGTGGTGAAGACGACGAAGATCCAGAGGAAGAGTCGGTCCATCACCATGGCGACGTACTGCCAGTCCTCCTTCGACTGTACGGGGACACACGTGGACAGGAGAGGTCAGAGCAGACAGAGGAACACATAATACTTGCTTAACATTATTTTAACAATACTATTCATACTTTTTAAAGGTCCTGTATTACATAAAAGTGACTCTGGTGAGCTTTAAGTCATGTTAGAATATTCTTACTTCATCAAAAACAGACCTGGAGTTGTGTTTTGTTTCTTCTTGTCAACACATTTATATATTTCTGTTAATTGAATTAATTAAAGCCGCACTGTGTAACTTTTCTGGTGGAGTGCCAGCCATCTGTTTGTCTCCATGGACGTATTACTGTTTTGAACTGGTTATTCCACATTATGAAAATACATTTGGTAATCACAATGGAGCTAGGTTAACGTTCTGATCTAGAGACAGGTTAAGAATTCATGTTTTTAACGTGTCTTTGAGCTGTAAAACACCAGTAACTGAACAAATGTAGTGACATATGTTTAATGCCCTTCTGTGGAACATTCCAGGCAAAGAAATACCTGCCTTAGAAGTTACATACATAGAAGCTACATAATGTAATGTATTTAATGAACAAATCAACCATTTTAATCTGTCTAAAATGACTTTCTTGTGTATAAATCTCTGCATTTAGATATAATTTTCTGTGCTGATCACATATGCTACTTCTACTTATACTGTGAAGTAGAGCATGGAAACCCAACCGAACCCATATTTGGACAAATATTTAGAACTTATCCTCGGGCTAAGGTTGGACTCGGACACATCAGCGTGTCTGCTGTTTCCTGTCCAAGTCAAAACTGTGTTATTATTATTTGTGAAATGTGGTGCAAAACTTCAAATACAGGATTTTTAAAGCATAAAAGATTGGAGAGAAACACAGGAAGTAGAGTCACTGTCACTAATCTGCAGCTTCACCTCGATCTGTGCACTGTGTGCATGTAAACAGACACGTGTGGAACAAAACTTACCTTTTTGCTTTCAAAGAACACCTCAAACTGGATTAACAGCGCGGTTTTGTGGACTGGATGTCATTATTTGTGGAGGACAATTTCTATGGATAATGTGGATGAGACGCTGCACTTTAAATTTACCACGTTTCGAGAGGTGAAGAATAAAGTCTCATTATTTTCACTGTTTACTGAGTTTGTATTTTGTGTCTCTGTGTCCGTTAGAGGAACACAGACAATATCCTACATGTGTCATTAGGCCTGTGGAAATAGTGTGATTGTAATTGTGTCAGACTCGGGTCGGATTCAATCACTGCTCATCACTGTCGGATGTGGGCCGGACTCAGACCGAAAAATTTGACTGAATCCACACTTGGAATTTGAACCAAGAAATAGTACATGTTTTGCCAAGTTGGTTGAATGACATGAGAAAATGCACTGTCATTACAATTTAACAATATCAACGATACACAATAGAATATAATACAAATGTTAAACTAGCACAGTTTTGTCTTAGTCTCTCCAGGTATGTTCTTGATGAGGAAACAACATTATAACATGACTTCAAGCTCATGAGAATCCAAGATCTGTTATATAGGATCTTTAAATTCTAGAATTAAAATGTTGCTAAAATGTTTTTTTCAAGGCAATATATTAGGGTAAGTATAAGTACTATTCATTTAATAAACTATTTAAAAAGCTGGTACTTGGTGAGGAGTACTGTAATTATATGTGATGAATGATTAGTTCATGGTTAATAAGCATTGACAGATGATTGGCAGGTATGTGTTCTGTCTGTATTTCACATTCCTGTGGTTCAGACAATAGACTTTAAAGTGGCTCTGCTTGTACAAGTCTCTCCACGGTCTAGTCCCAAAGAACATCTGTGATATTTTAGAGTCAGAGATGTACTTTATGTGAACCATCTGCACTGTGAGGAGCTCAGGGACCAGCCTCCTGCTCGTGCCCAGAGTCACGACTAAACATGGGGAGTCAGAGTTTCAGATTCATGCAGCTCAGACCTGGAACAGTCTCCCTGAAGCTGTGAGACAGACTTAAAGACTCCAGACTCAAAACAGTTTTGTTAGCTTCATATGACTGAAAGGTTTTCATTCTGAATTTTCTCTCTCATTTAATGTCTCTTTCTCTTTTTAATTTTATGATTATTTATGTTTTTTTTACTTTGTGTACAAATTGTGTTATACAAATAGTTACTGAGCCTGTTTTAGGTACACGGGGTAAAATAATATATCTATATAAACTAAGTACATGCACATGTACTTGTGAGAGCGACTCACAGCTTCATAGTCCTTCTCGGCCTGCAGAGCTTCAGCGATGTAGGTGATGGCGTCCACCGCAGACTTGAGCTCGTCGGGCAGGGTCAGGTATGTACTGGGACCGTCTATGAACTTCCTCAGGTCTGTGCACATGCCCTCGGGATTGAACCTGCAACCACACACCATGCACATACATTATAACATCAGGAGTAAGAGCTGTCATCCTACAAGTAGTGCAAAAAAAAAAAAAAAAGTGCTGCTTTAAATTTATTTTATGATTTGATTTTTGTGTTGTTTAATAAATATTTTTTACTGAATCCAAAAATGCTGATTCATCTTCTATTAACTATTATGGAAAATATATTATTATTATTATTATTATTATTATTATTATTATTATTATTATTATTATTATTATTATTATTGTTATTATATATTTATTAATTTATTGATAGATTTTTATAATTTTTTTTCATATCTTTAGAATTATTTTGGTTTGTAGATGTTCTATAAAATGTTTCATGTAACTTTTTGTTCCATCTTGTTTGTTAATCTCACTCACATTTCAGGTCTCTCTTGTACTACACCTTGACTTCTTACAATTCCACGTGTTGATTTCAAACTAAACGTTAAAATGACACGCCTCTCCATGCCCGTTCACACCTCTCTGGGCCATTCCCTTTGTAATGTAGATGTTTTGTGGTAATGCTATAAATAGTGACGGCTCAGAGGCTCTGAGAGACTCCAGCCCTGTCCTGTCCTGACCTGTTGCAAATTTCAAGGTTCTTTTCAAAGTCAGTTCAATAGAAGATGAACTGACCTTGTTGACAGTTTGTTTGTTAGCTGCAGGCCATCCTCAAATGTCACCTGACCCTAACCGAAGCATGTCGAGGTACAAGCTAAATACATCGTGTCTCAAAATATAAGTTGGTGATGCATTTACTGGAGTTGGAAGTATTTCAAAATGCATCTCTGATTGCTTTGAATATTAACATACTTTATAAATGCACTGTGTAACTTTTTCTGGGTGAGGGTCTGCCATAGAAGATGTTAGTGCTTTGCCTGGAATGTTTCAAGGATTTATTTATTTATTCTTGAAAAGGTGAAATTATGTCTTAGTACCTAAAATATTCAGTATCAAATCAAATCAAACTTTATTTATAAAGCGCTTTTCATACAAAAATGTGACACAAATTGCTTTACAGTGATTAAAAACAATCCCACATTTCCAACCACCCACCCACACCCCCAACCCCACACAACCAAACGACCCAGACACACACACACACACACACACACACACTCACATAAGCACCAATATGCACACACACACTCACACTGACATGCTAAAATACATAAAACCAGAAATAGTAAAATAAGAGGCTGAATACAGGCAAACCAGTTGAGAAAGCAGCATCAGAGGAGCCATCTGCACCAGGAGCAGAGAGACGTCCACCACCACCAGGAACCACCACAGGGCTCAGAGGAGAGCTGAAGCCCAGGCACCTGAGGCCCAAGCACCATCCCTCCACCAGGAGCCCACATGACAGACCCAGCAGCCACAGCTGACCTCTGCTCCCGATGCAGAGGCTCCTACAGAGGAAACACTGGAAATCCTAAAAATATGCCTAAAATCAATAAATATAATAAAATGAATACAATAGAAACAAGTAAAAGTATAACATTTCAATCAAAAGCTAAGCTAAAAAGGTGGGTCTTGAGCCTGCTCTTAAAAACATGAACGTTCTCTTTGGCCCTGAGCTCCTCCAGCAGACAGTTCCATAAACGGGGGCCATAGCACTGGAAAGACAACTCTCTGTGAGTGTGTCCTGACTTTGGGAATGACCAGGAGCTGCTTCCGGAGGAGCACACGGTCCGCGAGGGTTCGTAGGGTAAAAGTAATAGACATCAAAAAATACATTTGCAAATGTTCACCTGTACAAATGTAGACAAATGAAGTTCCATATACTAATACCATTTACTGTCAAACTTAGACCCGGAGGTCAAATTTGACCCATGATATAATTATTGTTGGAGACTTATTACGTGCCTGTACCTCCTGCCACTGTGAGGCGCAATTTATAGAAGGGGAGGAAATTGTGCACACAGGGGTTGCACCGTGAAGGTATACAGTCTTTTGACCGTCGTCATCGTCGTGATCTGTTGAGTGCTGAATCTGTGTATGGTTGGGTGGCTAGAAGGTACGCCAATAAACTAATTAAGGAACACGGTATTTGGACTCTTTTTATGGAAGACACGCGTCCGGGACACCACACACGCTGCAGCCATAGTGGACCTTGCACAGAGCAAGTTTTGGCCGCTACAATTATATTTGGCCCGCGAGATATCAAATATGTATTAGAGCTGCCTACTGGATACAGACAGACATATAGACACATTATTTCTTTAAAATGTTGTTATTATTTTATATTCTGCTTGTTCTGGATTCAGTGTCTAAGCAAAACTTTTATTAAACATTTATTTTAATAGGTTTAACCTTACATATCTCGAAAGAAGAGAAAACATGCAGACGTGACATTTTTAAATAAATATTTAGTTTGGCCCATGACTTAGTCCCAGTTTTTTATTTTCTGTGATTTTGAGTTTGACACCTCTGCTGTAAACAATTCCATCCAAAAAAATTGCAGTTGCACTTCTCACCACCAGAGGTCAATGCTGCACCATTTCAGAAGCCACACTGGAGGTGAGTGAGGGACATTCACATTCCACACAGCCTCCGGACGAGTTCACATGCAGAGCCGGAGTGCATGGTGTGACAGGGGGACGGGGGCTATGATGAGGAGGGGGAGGGGGAGGAGGAGGGGGGGGCGCCTCACCTCATCAGCTGCAAATAAATGAGTGTTCAGGGGCTAATTTAACTAAGACTGGAGCCAGAACACGCACTAAAGCCTATTACACAGAGTGCTGTCTCATCACTCCTCCTCCGGCACAGCACGCCGGGAGAATCTACACTCCTCACAACAACACTTGAGTTTTGACTTAAGTTTGAGAATTAATATTTAACTCAAATACTCTTTTCTTTCTTGTTTTTTCTAAATCCTATATTACACAAAATGGACTCTTGAATGTTGTTACCTCCTCAAAAACAAACGTGGAGTTGTGTTTTATTTCATTCACATATCTTGGAATAATCAAGTATTATTCTGTGTACATCTCCCAAGCTCAAAATCCTCTATTCCACCTTGTGATGTCATGAAGGTGGTAGTTTTCAAGTTAACAGCTCACAGCTTTAACTTTGCGTTCAGTAGATTGGCAATACCAGTGCCCAAATGATTTTAGTGAAGGTGTGTGGAGTTTAAAACACAGTGGATCACTGTGTGTATTACCACATGACATCACAAGGTGGAAAAGACTGTTTTCTGTTTAAACAAAGAACTATGACGTCATAAAACTCTGCTATGGTCTCAGAGTTGTAAAATGTGCTCATAAACTCAATAATTAGGACGCTCTGAATGTGTTAGGAAAGTGAACAGTTGGAATCAGATCTAAAAAAACTAAACAAAACAAAAACAAAAAAAAACAGACTGTTTTTCTTTTGATGAAATTTGATGCATTTTATATAGTGATGTAACAATAACAGAAATATCATGATATTGTATCGTCAAAAGTCTCACGATAATCGTGGTCTGTCACAATATGTCATAATGACAAGTTTCTTTGGTTAAATGAACGGCTTTGGTGCAGCAATAGTTAAAATAAACAGAACTACATAGACCATGATCCTTTGCATTGTTTCAGTGCAGACGACATGAAGAAATGGCAGTTATCACGCAGTTAGAAATAGGGATGTAACAATATTCAAATCTCTTGGTACAGTATTATCACAATATGCCTCTCACGATACAATATTTATTGTGATATTTTTGGTGAGGTTAATATAATTCTAAGTAGGACACTTTTTTGCTTTTCATAATCTCAAGAATTCAAGTAAAAAACACATTTCTTCACATTGTCTGCACTGAAATGAATCATGGGATATGTAGTTCCCTACATTTGCTACTATAAAACCTGCATTTAAGCAAAGGAACTTGTAATTGGATATATTAGATAAAACAAGAGAGGTAGAGCTCTTCACTGGGTCTTAAAAGAGTAAAAAGTATCAGTACAGGTGCTCTACGAGGGTTAAGACAGTGATCTTAGAACAGAAAATGACCCTTGCAGGAAAATGTAAAAATGGGTAAGGTACAAACCCGAGGCACTCTGACTGAACATATTAAAAGTCCTTTATTACATGAAGGGAAAAGTAGTTGTAATTGGACATATTGTGATAGCCCATGATATTACTGTGAGACTTTTGACGTTATGATATCACAATATTTCGGTTATTGTTACATCCCTACTTTTAAATGTTAGGTCTTTGGATTATGATAGGACCGAAGAGTTTAAAAAGAAAATGCAGCATATTCACAGTTTTGTTACCGTCTACAAAATATCGCAATAAATATTGTACTGCGAGGTGCGTGTCGTGAAAGTATCGTACAGAGATTTGGATATCGTTACATCCCTGATTTTATACAGATTAACGCTGAGCCAACACAAGAATCAAACCAGAAGCAGACCAGGCCCAATATATATATATATATCTTTTCAATATTCAGTTCAATAATTCAATACAGTCCTTGAAAATAATGTTTGAAATAACACGTGAGGGCTGTTGGAGCGTTAACTGTCTGACAGGGGGCGCTGCGCAGTCTGACCTGTGTGGTTTGGGGAAGAGCACAGAGTTGTCTGGTTTGCGGATGAAGTACTCGTCGGCCACTTTGCTGAGGGCCATCCGGGGCTGCTTCACCGGCCTCAGCTCCACCACGACCAGGGCCTCCGCTTTAGGACGCTTCATGCACAGGTACGGAGGGAGCATGTGCAGGAAGATCTGCAACGAGAAAGACAACGCAAATGTTAGGACGCTTCATGCAATGTACGCTCTTTGGATAACATGAGGCAGGAGTTTATAGAGAGAACTGAGGGAATATAAACACTATGCCGTCCAAAATGATGAAATGCAGGTTCAGGTACGTTTAGGATTGGAATTTGTAATAACGGGTGTTGATAGTTTGCAGCAGATCAGCATTGTCATCAACGTTCCCTGAGGGTTTGTTGTTAACTGGAGGCACTGCTCTGTCAGAAGCTCTGTTAGATTTTAATCTGAACTTTAAAAGAACATGATCTGACAAGAAAGGGTATAGGGGTTAGTTGGAACTGTAACATGAGTTTCTCAGTTAGTCACTCTCACCTATTTGTCAAAAATCAAACTCCTAAACTGGACCATGAACGCTCAAGCTCCTGAAGATGTGTTGTTTAAGTCAGACCATCTAAAAAGTTTTTTGGCAGTGTTTGCTCATGTGCACTGTGTCTCCATGACAACAGCTGAACATTCCACTATAGAGATCAGAGGTGGGACCAAGTCGTTGCTTAGCAAGTCTCAAGTGAGTCCCAAATCTTTAGCCTCAAGTCCGAGTCAAGTCCCAAGTCAAAGACAGGCAAGTACAAGTCGAGTCCCAAGTCAGTCGTCCAAAAGTCTAAGTCTAAGTTTACTGCGTTGATTGTGCTGTCATTTGATTGGATGCTGTAGTGTGCACGGTAGGGATGGACAGAGCAAGAAATGTGTGATACTGACTTCAAGAGCCTTTCTGTAAGTTTCTATAACATTTTGGCTTCGTTCAGACTGCAGGGCTTAATGCTCAATTCGGATTTTTTTTGCGAGGTCATTCACATTTCCAAAGTATGTGATTTCCAGTGTGAACATTAAACATCCCAAAAGTGTCCCACATGTGCATTGGAGGACATGACAACGTCACATACAGGGAGACTGCTCAGTGTTTACGAAGTCGCCGAAACTCTGGGCTTGTCTCTCAAAATCTGGTCCAGTTCTTGGTAAAATGGACAGGTTACATGTCCACGGCTGCTTCGTTTCTTTGAGTCTTTATCCTCCTTGTGTTTGTTTCGCAGGCTCTTTATTTTTCATTGACATTGGAGCCAGGACATCTGTAGCCCCGCTCGGACATTTCTTTGGCAATCTTTTCAAAAAACACTTGGTTCTGATAAGACTCCTCCAATTTGGTCTGAATACAGCGATCACACCAAATATTAATAAACTCTCTAACCTCCCTTTCCCGCCACTGACAAGACTCTGAGCCTGACGTGTAGGTGGGATGAATGGGACCTGACCGTTCAGACTGAAGTCACATGTCAAAAGACCGGTAATGTATCAGTTTTAGGAGCACATATCCAAGTGATCAGGGTCATATTTGAAAAAATCGGATCTGTGTTGTTCAGTCTGTCATTAAAAGATCAGATACAGAAGCACAGGGATGAAAAAATCAGATTTGGGTGACTTACAGTCTGAACATAGCCTTTGAGCATCAAATCTTTCCAAGTCAAGACTTCAAAGTCCAAGTCAAGTCCCAAGTCTTTGGTCATTTTCCCAAGTCTAGTTTATAGTCATTAAATTGGTGACTCGAGTTTGACTAGAGTCCAAGTCATGAATATAAAAAAATATATATAGTGTTTGTATGTGCACTAAATAATATTAAAAATCAAGTAAAAGGTTCAGTATGTAACTTTCTGGAGGTCGTCTCCATGATGGAAATGGAAACAGAAAGTTAAAACCAAACTGGGGATTACAGATTACTGGAGTCATATTTGTGAAGAAGTTTGCTCACACACTCTGTACTGTATTTCAGTGAAATTAAGAAAAAAAAAAGGAAAAAAAAAAGAAAAAGAAAGAAAAGAAAATGAGAAAAAACAAACAGCAAAAACATACATAGATACAACTGACACACTGATATAATAATTCAAGAAAAGATGAATCATGTTCCTTAAAGACCAGTCTCTTCTGGTGATGTTACGCCACCTGCTGGTCTCCATGGACAGAATGTTTCAGTGCAGGTGTTGCATTGGATAAAAAAATAACTGTACTACATACTACTTGGACAGCATGCAGACTTGCCTCTCCACAGATCTAAACTGTAATTTGGCCTGGTTTAGTCTCCTGCTCGTCTTCATGGAGAAAGATTCATTAAGCAAAGTAGTTACATCCAAATGGAGACAAGCAGGTGGCGGACACTCCACCAGAAGAATCACATAGTGCACCTTCAGTATTTTATATTTAGTATTTTCTGGTAAATATTAGAATTGAATTGAAATTGATGACAGCAATATTGAAAAATCAGTCTTGGAATTATCTAAAACAAACCAAAAAACTACAAGACAAATCTGGAGAGGGGGTTCCAAATGCTTTCCACTTCCCCATTACTCTGTCAAGGTCGGTATTGTGTTTATTTTGCAGAATAGATAAGTCGCAAATAATACACAGGTTTGGTTCAGAGCTGAGTTCACACATTTTGTTCCAAAGTGAGATATTTGTGAATGTTTTCTCTCTCCACAAATGGTGAGGAGACACTTTGATGTCCTTGTACTGCCAAAAGCTGTAAAGACAGATAGGCCTCTTCATTTGAAAGTGATCTCCACACTGACAATATTAGTTTGTGCTGTTCTCTCCAAGTGGATACGAAACAGCAGAATAATTCAGTTTTTGGATTTAAAAGGAACCTTATGGAAGATTTTGATTTAAAACAGAACTAAGTCATTTTCAACAACAGAGCTCCCCCTGCAGCTCCCGCATGAGAATACACTGTGAGAGAACAGACTCAAAAGCATTTTTTACTTATCTTCTCTTTGAAATAAGGCAGCACAATCACATAAAAACATTATGTTGCCTAAATGTTTAAAACCTCCGGGGTTTCCCAGAAGAACTCTATCTGGGGCGTATCAGCCGTTTTGCAAGGCTGGTTTTCTGTGTGGAGACAGCAGAGGGAGACGAGCCCAAAAATACCCCACAAATACTCCAAATACTCCAAATAGTCCAAGAGTACATAGGCTATTTAACCATCACAGTGACTTTCAAAGATCTTTAAAAAATGTTAGATGTTATTTGGGTTTATGGATTTTTAAAGCAGAACTTTCTGTGCACCCAGATGTGAGGTATTTCATTTCATTCAAGTTTTTTTATTTGTTTCATTAATGAAAGATGAATAGAAAATAATTCTGTTTCAAACATCAGTGTGAATGAAAAGGAGCAGAAAGAAGTTTGGACTTGTAATATCTGCAACCTATAAATGTTCAGATCAAATATAACAGTTCTAATGCAGATTTAGTCTTAATTACTAAAACTTTAGACATGATGGACAAAAAGTTTATGTTATATTTTGGTGTTTTGGTTCTCCAGAAGATGATCCGATCAGAGAGCAGAATGAGCCTCAAATGAGTCTCTCTCTGCCTCTTTCTCTCTTTTATTTTATTTTATTTTATTCAGTTTCAATGGTGAAATCCAGTGTGTTTAAACCTAAAGTGTTTCTCTCTGATCTGAACAGTCTCTATTTAAACCCCAGCACCAGCACCAAGCCAGAGTCAGTGCTAGTGCAGCCTCTGCAGCTCAGGGAGGCAATTCTGGAGGTTCTGAGCTTCACATGAGACCTGAACATAAACTGAGAATAAGACACACTTGGATTTGTCTCTGTCTGCAGATGAAGACTGTTGTACCGTTGTTTCCTCATCACAAACACACCTCAAACATTCATACATGTTTAACACACAAACCCTGCATATGGAGGCTGAGATCGAACAGAAAACAGTTTGTGGTAATACAGGAAGTGCTCGTGTACTGTGTTTATAATGTCCATACCCCCTCACTAGTCTCTACTGAACATAAGGTAAAAGGGGCTGTTCACTCGTGGCCATACCTCCATGTCAAAGCCTGATCCAGTCAGATCTCAGAAGCTCAGCAGGGTCGGGCCTGGTCAGGACTTGAATGAGAGACCGCTGGGAAAATCGGGTCATTGTGTCCTTAGGTAAGGCACTTTACCCACATTAGTATGAAAGTGGTGTGTGCGTGAGTGATGGTGCAATGGTACAGATTAGACAAACTAATAATAAAGTGTTGCTCAAACATGTGTGAATGAAAACAAAAAACAAAAAACACAATTCCAGGTCTGAATTTGATGAGATAACAACATTATAACATGACTTCAGTTTTGTGGAGTTGATTTTGTGTAATATAGGTTCTTTAAGTTGTAAAAAGGCAGCCTACAGATCCTTTAAATCAGGCATGTCCAAACTATGGCCCTTGGGTCAAATGCGGCCCTCAGACACATTTTTCTTGTCCCTCAGGCTTCCAGGTGAATTGGCCCAAATCAATCAGAAATCTACTTTTTACTGCATTTTTTTTTTATCTACTTTGATAAAGCTATTATTTAAAATTTAGTGTGTGGTTTTAAGGATCTTAGCGTGAATAAAGATTGATGGTTCATTCTAACGTGTTAAACATTCACATATTTCAATTATTCACCGTATTAAGCACCAGTTTATGCCCTTGATGAAAAAAGTTTGGACACCCCTGCTTTAAATAGTCTCATAAAATATAATGAAAACATCATGAACAAATATATGATTTTTACAGCTTCAATTTAGAAAAGTATCGCCCAGTCGTACGCCTCGATCATCCATTTTCTAATAATCGTTTTCTAACCAACACACCATGCAAATTGTTTCTACAGGGCCATAATGAAACAAGCGAAAAATTAATTGAAATTTCAACCTATTTAAAACGGTTATGTTTAAGCCATAACCCCATCCATCAGCATAAACACGTATTATTAATGAGATTATAGTAGGCTGGATCGGAGCAGACCTTTAGACTCTATCACCCGTACGACATGTTATAGCCTGAACCTCCATCAGCGCCTGGTACCCCCGCTCATTGATAGCTAATTACAGAGCCAGAAACATTACACCTAGAGAGAGTTCAGGAGCAGCTGGTGAGGAGGAAATGCTTTTTTATGACTGACAGATTTGAAATGGATTCCATATGTCGTCACGCTATAGTGCTTTTACTGTATGGTGACATGTTAGAAGAGGCCGATTTAACTCATATTGTATTTCACTGTTTTTATTTGATATTTCACTTTTGAATCCATCTCATGCCGGGTGTACACTGTGGGATATTTTCAGTCGTGTCAATCAGCCCCATCTTAAACTGTACGACCAAATCGCAGGGTTTAAAAGTTCACAGCTCACGAATCATGTTCTCACACTGAACGAACCGATGCTCGGATGTGACCTGCCTGCGCACACTGTACGTTCACATAACGACCGGAGTTGTTGTTCCAGAAGTAGAAAACCACGAAGAAGAAAACCATAGACGCGCAGAGACACAATGCTGATCCAGGCAAAAACAGACAGCGCTGCCTTGGCAATTTGTGCCATTCTCTGCGCAGACAAGCCCAAAAAGAAGAGGCAACGAATCTGGTCAAAGAAATGGCTGCATAGACGTGGGCAGACGTGGGCAGTATGGGTTGTCAGTTCTTCAGATGGAACTGGAGGTAAGTAGCACCAAGTTTTTTCACCAAACTTCTGTTCTGTGTTGCTCGTTTAGCTGCGCCTCCATGTCCTGTGTCCAAAACACTCACCGGCTCCATCGTCCTCCACAACCTCATATCCTGCTTCTGCTTCTGTGTCCGAGCATGCTCAGTCTGACAGATTCTGGCAAATCAGCTCATGGAACTACTTCAACAGAGTGAAACCCTCACGAGAGGCAACTCGATTTCAAACAAGTTTGATTTTCTTGTGACCTACGAATGCCGATCGGGAGCTGGTCGTGAGGTATTAATCGTTTCTCTTTACTCCATGTTTACTACACGAACCACGATGCACGATGAAGCCAAAACTCAGCCTGATCCCCAAAACAGTGGCATTAGTGAAAAATCGGCTCAGAAAGGGTCAAAAATGGCACAGTGTACACCCGCCTTTAAAATGTTAAAAACTCAGAAAAGTCTGTTTGACATATAGGTAACATTTCAAGATAAGATTCAAGGTAAGATTTATCTTTCCCGTACGTAGATGGATTTGTTCTTCAGTAGTCATTTGGCAAGCACTCTTGTCTCACAGCCAGAAGGTTTCAGGTTTGATTCCTGGGCACAGGTGGAGCCTTAGTTTGCAGAGTTTGCATGTTATTTCGTGACTGGGTGGGTTTCCTCAGGGTGCAGTGGTTTCCCCCATCAATTTCTAACACCGGCCAAGAGAGTCCTGGTCCAGTCAAGATCAGGTAGGGATTGTGCTTGAGCACTGCTCCCCATGGTCTAATTGTCCTCCAACTGGAGCTATAAAGAGATTATCTGCGTCATTTTGCTCAGAAAGAGTCTCTGTCCTGTCTGTATCATGTCAGTGTCTTGTAGGATTTCAGCAGATTTCAGGTTCTCCCGGGGGCGGGGATAGGTGTATTGATCAGGTATGAGTGGATGTCCGACTACTGAAGTTTGAGACATTTCTTATAATAATTTACGCACTCACCTGCATGTAACACATACAGTGGAAAACAGCGATAGCGATGGACTTTCAGAGAGTGAAACTTACGAAGGTGAGAATGTCTGTGTGGAGTCCTGCGATATCTGAACAAACTATCCGGGACTTTATACTCGATTAAGTATCAAAATTGCCCTGAAACCTGGATGTTGCTCAGACGAGTCCTTTGAAATATTTCAGTCTTTTTTCCAAGATGAGATGTATGACAGAATTACTACAGAAACAAACATTTATGTGGAGCTCTGTGCATGAGAAAGTCGCCAAGATGACAAATACTAAACACCCACTGACGGGGAAGAGTTTTATTATTATATTATTTTATTATAATAAGCTAAATGAGTTGAATAAGTTAAATGGAAAAAAAAACTAATTAAAAACAGGTGTTCACTTGGCTGTACTGTATCTGGTGACATGAAATCTGTTTAAATACTTTGACAAATATATTTTACTTCTTTTTTTTTTAATGAATATAGTACTCAGAACATGCAGATATCAGATGCTGAATGTAGTTTTTTTTTTTGTTTTCGATTTTGCACCTGACCAGGTAAACTCTCATTTTCAGTGAGCTTTTATAAACCTGTAAATGAGCTGAATCATATTTAAACATCCATAAATGAAGAGTTCAGAGTTTAAGTTTTCCAGAGATACAAATATGTCTGTGTTTCAATTAAGTTCTTGAGTATGAAAATCATTTATAATCACTCGTGGAAGTCTGTTTTCTTTTATGCAATTATGCTCTATAACTAATCATATATGTAAGGGTTGTTCCTAGTAGGAGTCCAAGGGGAAAAGAGTTAAGACATTTCCCGCTCACTAATGTTCATTTAACTTATTTTATCACATGGAGATAAACTGTTTTAGTGCTGACAGCAGCATTCACTAGTGCTATAACTTCATAATAAATGCACATTCTAGAATGTTGTAATGTTACAGGAACACAACCTATTAAGAAAAATATATACACACAGCTTAGTTTTTTTGACCATGTAGTGTCATAGTATACAGCTCTTATACGGATTGTCTAAAGTATCCACACCAACACACTAATACATACATATCAATAATCAAATGAATTGAAACTATTCAAATGGTTCTGGCTGGTCAATGTTCCACATTTTACTAACAGGTCAAAAACAGGTCAAAAATGATATGATCGGTTAATCCGCCTGTCAATCACACCCTCTGAAATCAGGGGGACAGGACGCAGCTCCAGATCTACTCGTTTTTGTAAAGTTTAGTGAGAGTGTGTGGTTCAGGCTGGTCAGATAACCTCTGGTGATACGTGAGCTTCTTGGACTTCTTCAGTTTGTGGGTTGCCAAATTTAGAGTTTTTTTTTTTACACCTTTTTGGATAATTTCTTCTTTAGAACTGCACTGAAAATGATGTAGTCCAGTTTTAGACCTGGTTTATCCCTAGATTAGACCTACAATAGTCTTGTTATAGACCTGGTTTAGATCTTGTAGTACTCAGAAAAAAAAATCTTCTCTTTGGTGGTAATAGGTGTGAAAAGTTTGAGTCAGTGGTTTAGCTGCGCCCTCTTGTGGACATGACTTTTTCCACACTGCAAACAGTATAGTATATTTACACATTCTTGAAATTAGATTGAAGTTAAGATTAGTTTATTTGACCATGTAGTGTCACAGTATACAGCTCCTGTACACACTGTCATAAGTATCCATCCCAACACACTATTGGATACTAATTGATAATCAAATGAATTGAAACTATTCACATGTTTCAGGAATGTTTTAGTTCCTGACTGGAAATCATGACTCACAATAGGGAATTCCTTAATTGTTACCTAACGACCATGTTGTACACTTGGCCAAACTGCTCAGATGTACACAGAAAACACTTTTACACACAGATTTACATAAAGTATTGTGGAAAAATTGCTTAGCGTAAACTGTGCCTAACTTTTGGACAGAATTCTCCCTCGTATGACGTCATCAGTGACTTTTTCAATTATTCTTTGGAAATGGATTGGTATAAAATGATAAATAATATATAAATTATGTTAACAATAGGTAGAGAAAATGAGCAAATGATAAAAACACACACACATACTCAGTGTTGGGGATTAATGAATTACATGTATTTGCGTTATGTAATCAGAATACAAATTATGAGTAACTGTATTCAGTTACAGTTACTGTTTCCATGAATGGTAATTAGACTACAGTTACTTTGGTGAAATAAATGGATTACATTGAAGTATTTTCCTTTTTTCATATTTTGGGCTAAACCAGGACTAAAACCAGGACTAAAACCAGGACTAAACCAGGACTAAACCAGGTCTAACTAATATGACACCTAACAGTAGGGTGGAAATAATTTAAGGTGATCTCCTATAGAAAGCTTTTCTCTATGAATAATATTTTCTTTTAGCAGACAAAATATCTTATGTTAACATTTCCTCATCTTTGTTTCTCTACAGCAAAAAAAAGTCTGTTCATGGAGACTTGGGCTCAACAGCCAATTTGAATAGAACAAACAAGAATTTTCAGGATGTGGTTGGTACATTCATGTCATTTTAAAAAGCAAGACAATATCAAGTAATCCAAAGTATTCAGATCACTTTACTCACTTTAAGTAATTTAATGGATTACGTTACAAACTACATTTTGGGGTACGTAATCTGTAATCTGTAAGGGAATACATTTTAAAAGTAACCTTCCCAACACTGTATGTACTTAGTATAGTGACAACATTAGTTATAACATTAGTTAATAGTAATCGTATCCCCAGCCCGACGTGCTGCTGGCGTGTGCTTACCCGCCGCACCCACATGGGCATCCGGTGCGTGTTGGGGGACCTGTGGTGGAGGTTGAGCACCACCACGCTCATGATGACGGAGAAGGTGACCAGGATCATGGTGAACATGATGTAGTTGACGATGACGGGGACGCCCAGAGACGTCTCCGGGATCTTATTGGCCAGAAGCAGCAGGAACACAGTTAAGGTCAGGAGGACGTTGATGGACAGACCCATCTTCTCACCTGGAGAAGGCAGATACAAGAAGAATCAGGTGTCAGTCTGGAATCGTTGGACCATAAAACAGCTTTGGAGTGTCTTGGTGAAGGGTTTGGTCCAGAGCAGAGAGCAGAGGTCACATGAGATCAGGATTATTAGGATTAATGGGAGAGTTTTTCCTCAAAATCAGTGTTCCACATTTATCATCATGTCAATCTGTTATACTGTATCTAGGGCAACATTTTAAGGTTACACTGCTCCTAAAACATTGCACCAACCCCAGTGGTAATGCTCTACATGTGCAAAAGGGCTGTACTCCATTTTTGTCCACGTAATATAGTAAAATGTGTTTTTCTCCAAATGTAAAAGCAGATCTTGGGGTCAGAATGAGACAGGTGTGTGCTGTCTGCTTCTGAAATACTTTATTGATCCCAAGTTGAAATTCAAGATTAAAAGCACACTTAATTCAGTTGAAGATCAAATAAAGCTGGTGCGCTGTTCGCAGGCTAGTTATTGCTTTGCTTGTTCACTTTGAGCCCTGAAAGTTGTGAAAACTGCTTATAAACTTATTGCTGTGAATAATTAGAATATTCAGAATGCATAAGGATAGTGAGGAATACGTTTTGACCACTGTAAAAAGTTAACAATTTATTTAATAGTTTTTTCACATTTTTGTCCTCATTACACTGTAATTGCTTGTTATTAAAAGTTCCACAGGTGCACTGTCACTTTATTCAATTACATGTGGTTTTGCTGCACAAAAATATCTAGAAAAAGACATTCTGACTGTGAGCGGGGTCGCCTCTTCACAGATCTGACCTGTAACTGGGTCAGGTTTGGTCTCCATGGTTACATAATATAAAATATTCAACAGACCCTCCACTAGAAAAGTTACACAATGCACCTCTAATGTTAATGTTTGCTTTATATTCCACGTTTTACTAACAGGTCGCAATTATTTGTTGCGTTTCCCATAGAAGTTTAATTAAAAATAAATAAATAAATAAAAAAAATTTAAAAAAGAAAAAAAAAAGAAGAAAAAAAAAATGCCTGTTAGTGTGACACATAAATATCATTACAGCAGAAATTAAATAAAAGCAGAAATCAAATAAAAAATTCAACATGCTCATATTTATGCACATTTATTTTTCCATGTCTTGATGTCTTGCCACAGTTATTATATTGTATGAACAGCTCTTAAGGTCAAAATAATAATTATGTCTGCAAAAAAAAAAAACATGTTTAATTGTCCAAGATTCAGGAAGTGTGTGTTAGCATACTAGTTGCTGTTAGAAATACTTCCTGCTCTGGTCTCTAAAAGCTGTGTAAAGCGCTTACAAACTCATCACAGTGAATAATTCGAATGCTCTGAAAAAGCATTTTAAATGAACCAGTTGTGTTTCTCACATTTTAAAGACAGTAAACATCTGCTCGAGCGCCTTTAAGGACGTAATCACTCCGCGTTGTTGGTGTTTTGTAGGACGGCCGCTTGGACAGTGGAGGTGGTGCAGGCGGTGGACAGGGACAGATCGTGTTTACCCACAGTGGTCAATAGAACGCAGAGGGACCATTCGGGTGAGTTAGTGCGCTCTCCCCGGCCATTACGGACAATGAGGCAGACTCCATCTCAGTTAGAGCGCGTTACACCGCTGTTCAGCTCTGATTAAGAACATTAAAAGTTCACAGGTCCCGCTCTCTGTCGGCCCACGAGAAGGTGAGGGAGATTGGAGATAGTATAGATCCAGGAGTAGACAACGCAGCAATTGGAAAAGCTATTACGGCGTGGTGTGTATGGGAGTGTATAGATTACGTTTTTATCAAGATATCTGACTAGAGTGGGTTTGTTACTTTGCAGGGAATTTTATAGGTACATGTGAGATGTTTTTAATAGTTAAGACTGGTGTTTCACACATCGTAGAATGAGTACCACTGGTGTTGCCTGACCAGCCAGTCCCTTCTACATTCTTTTCATGCTTCTACATTCTTTGATGCATAGTGAAACCGTTTTTATCTTTTAATACTCTTGAACAAGTCACGCGCACTTTTATCTCCTCAAACTTACAGAAATGCTCGTGGTGGACTTTTTAAAAATAAAAGCCAGTAAGCAACAGATGCTCTAATAATAATAATAAATAAATAAGTAAATAATAAATAATAAAATAAAATAATAATAATAATAATAATAATAATAAAAACTGTGTTAATGGCATTAAAATAATTTGTTGGTGATAATGAATTAATTAGTTAACGCAAAATTAACACGTTAACGTGCCCGGCCCTAATTTTTATGTTTTACCTTTTTTTTTTTTTTTTTTATTCTTTATTGTCTTAACAATGACTAGTGGAGTTAAATAGAGCTTTGTTTTATATTTCTATTGGGTATTGTTACGGCCACAGGCCTCCAGATCCTCTCTGGCCATATCTGCTTAGATCCGTGTGTGTGTGTGTGTGTGTGTGTGTGTGTGTGTGTGTGTGTGTGTGTGTGTGTGTGTGTGTGTGTGTGCAAGCCTCCATATACAGACCCCCTGCTGTGACGCTGTGATTGGAGGATTCAATTTAAGATGGCATCTGGAGCCCCTCCTGCTGATTGGTGGAACCTGAAACACCTGGTCAATCCTGGGCCTACACCTGGAGCTCCGGCCCTATAAAAGGACCCGCCCCCTGCCACTCAGGGCAGCTGTTCTGTTTGTGGACTTGCTTGCCACCTTTGTGTCTCTCGTGGTGTATTTTGTCGAGACACTAGAATCCTGGTGACCTAGACTGTTTTTTGTTTTGTTTTTCTGTTTCATTTAGTATACCCTGTTTTGGTTAGCCTACTTTTCCTTATACTGTTAGCCACTCTGTTTAGAGCCTCTTTTTGTTAGTTCTTATAAAAATCATTGTTGTGTTAGTTTTACCTTACAATTCTGTTAAATAAATCACAACTTTAGTTTTACCATTTTTTTACATCTTGGTTATTTTGTTACTTCCCCCTGTCCCTAGCAGAGCTGGGTCGTAACATGTATGTTTAAATCTGCATTGTGCAGAACTTCGGAAACTATTTTGTTTATGAAATGGGCTATAGAAATAAAGAGGATTTGTATTGTTGTTGTTGTATTGTATTTTGAAATCCAGAAGGAATTAACCAACTAATAATGCTTTTCATGGTTAGAGTGGGATTCAAACTGCCAACCTTTGGATCAACTGAGCTACTGTTTTGTACCCATTTGTAGCACACGTCTCTCAAATGGAGAAGACATTTTTTTTTCGTAACATTCAGAATAAAATATAGAACTTATTTTACCTGAGATAAGTAATAGTTTGGTGCGACGATTGTTGATTCTGAGAAAATCCATTCAGTTTTTCAGTCCTTTGCTTGTGCTGCTTCCACACATGGATTTTCATAGTAAAGTATTTGACCAATCACATTTCAGCCGTCACTTGTTGCTAGACAGAGTCAAAGTCAAAGAAGTGTCCCTGAGGTCTTCACAATCTGTTCTGCAGGAACTCGAACACAAAATACATGTCCATGAAACTGTTGCTTCAACTAATCAGATTTTGAGTTGGTGTCACCAGGACCTTTAAGAGCGAATGACGTCACTGGATTCAGACCTGTGATTGGACAGACAGAGAGCGAACCTGCCAAAGCAGCAAACTGCATGTGTAGCTGAACCAGAACTAAACCAGGACTAAACCAGGTCTAAACCAGGTGTAAACCAGGACTAAACCAGGTCTAAACCAGGTGTAAACCAGGACTAATCTTGGACTTGAGAGAGCGCGAGAGAACGAGAGAGAGAGTGAGAGAGTGTCCGCAAAACACGGTCGGGCGACAGTTGCACTGAGCCCCGTGCAGCGTGGAGCACCAGCCCCGGCGCGATCCTTTCGTCTGCTGTCACCCGACAGTGCACATGGGCGAACCTTTGGGACAGTCCAGACAAACAGTCCTCGTTTAGTTCTGGTTTAGTTCTGGTTTCCCTCTCCTCATTTCTCCGTACAGGAATCTCGACGGCTCTTTATACTGAGTTTCTGTAGAATAAGATGCTTTTATAACCATAAAATAGTTATTGAAGAGTGGATTGTTTCAGGCAGAGAACTACTGAAGGCCTAGGTGAAATGCACATTCCACCACTGCGTTTACGTCACATACATCTCCACCTGGCGTCACCACCGAGCCGCCTGGCATGCACTCAGTCAAATTCCACACACTTCTGCGTCACCGTATGCATGCAGATTTCCTCCTGAAAATGCTTGTCTTAATGATGAATAAAAAGTGAAGACGCGATGCCACTTTTGCATCTTCTGTTCAGACTGTCATCTTATATAAGTAGCCTAAGATAAAAAGTTAATAAACATTTGAATCAAGTGGTAGTTCTCTTGTGGAGAGTCCCTGTCTCAAGTGGAGGAGTTCAAGTATCTCAGGGTCTTGTTCACGAGTGAGGGGAGGACGGAGCATGAGACTGACAGGTGGATCGGTGCAGCATCTGCAGTGATGTGGTCGCTGTATCAGACTGTTGTGGTGAAGTGGGGCAAAGCTCTCAATTTACCGGTCAGTCTTCGTTCCTACTCTCACCTATGGTCATGAGCTCTGGGTAGTGACCGAAAGGACAAGATCGTGGATACAAGCGCTCGAAATGAGTTTCCTTCACAGGGTGGTTAGGCACTCCCTTAGAGATAGGGTGAGGAGGAGCTCTGAGTAGAGCCGCTGCTCCTCCACGTCGAGAGGAGCCAGTTGAGGTGGCTCGGGCATCTGTTCTGGATGCCTCCTGGGCGCCTCCCTCGGGAGGTGTTCCAGGCATGTCCCACCGGGAGGAGGCCCCGGGGAAGACCCAGGACACGCTGGAGGGACTATGTCTCTGGGCTGACCTGGGAACACCTCGAGGACCCCCCGGAGGAGCTGGAGGACGTGTCTGGGGTGAAGGAAATCTGGGAGTCCCTGCTTAGACTGCTGCCCCCGCGACCCGGCCCCGGATAAGCGGAAAAAAATGGATGGATGGATGGATGGATGGATGGATGGTAATTCTCTTGATTTGAGTATATTTACACTTTCTTAAAATAAGATTTGCCAATAGAACAAGAATAGTTTTTCCTTTTCCAAATTGTTCTCATTTGTCAATGTATTATTTTAGGCAAAACAAACGTTGTATGCTTGTTCTTTTTAATTTTGAGACTCAAAATGTTGTGAAATCAGCATATACTGTATACTACTTGAATCAAGCACTTAACTTATTTTCTTCTTTAGGGTTTTATTCTTTCAAGTTTAAGACTATGCTGCTTGTGAATTCAAACCAACACTTGGCACGGCTGGTTTACAGTGTATTTAGAAATGACTTCACTCAGCACTCTTCGCACAAGAGGTTAGATGAAAAATGGCTGCCTGTCTATGCCAAAAGCACAGTGTAAACAGGATTTGAATTGGCATTCTTTTGGTTAAATAACAACTGCTCAGCCACCTGGGGCACTGCCACTCCAGAATTGGAAAAAAACATGCCTACTGGCATCAGAGGTAGTTAGCAGGAGATTCTCAAAGTAGAATTAAAATGTAATTGAGAAAAATTGCATAGAATCTACTGCCCCTGTGGTTTAGATTTGTGCAAACATGGTCGGAAACACATTCTGATGATTCTTGTATTACTTTTTCAGGTAAACAAGTCCTACAGGGTAACAACAGCTCAGATGGTAGAACTTTTAACCACTCATCTGAAGGTTAGCAGTTTGAATCCCACCTCAACATAAAACATCCTTAGAGGTGGAAAAGCTCTCTATAAAAATGTGACAGTTCACCATTTGTTCCTTTGTCTGCTTCTACTTATATTGCCACATTCAACTAAAACAACTACCTTAAAGAAACAAGTCTTAGAAAAGTGAAAAGGGAGCTGACGTCACTGTAGATGTCATCACAGCAATGATATGGAGAGAGTTTTGTTGGAAGAATTTGGTTAGGTTCTTTAAAACAGCGGTCCAGGAAAGACACTGCACCAAATCATCAAACTGTTGGAGGCAATGCGGTGAACTGGAGGCAAACCACGGCCAGATATTTTGGACGTGTCCTCATATTGTTCCATTTTGGAGAGAAATTCACAAATCATTGGAAACTGTGTTCTGCATTGACCATTTCAACTTGAAACAATGTACCTGGATTTCCTGATGGGTGAAAATGTGATGTATAAAGCTAAATACCTGTTCCAGATTTTGAGTGCGGCTGCTAGGAAAGCTATAACCAGGAAATGGCTTAATCCACAAATACCAACACTAGAACAGTTTGCGATTCCATGCATCCATTTTCTTCCGCTTGACCGGGGCCGGGTCACGGGGGCAGCAGTTTAAGCAGGGACTCCCTGACTTCCTTCACCCCAGACACATCCTCCAGCTCCTCCAGGGGGACCATGAAGCGTTCCCAGGCCAGCCGAGAGACATAGTCCCTCCAGTGTGTCCTGGGTCTTCCCCGGGGCCTCCTCCCAATGGGACATGCCCGGAACACCTCCCGAGGGAGACGCCCAGTGCGTCCTAACCCTGAGCCACCTCAACTGGTCTCCTCTCGATGTGGAGGAGCAGCGGCTCTACTCAGAGCTCCTCCCGTGTGACTGAGCTCCTCACCCTCTCTCTAAGAGACAAGAGATAGAGTGAGGAGCTCAGTTTCCTTCTCCACCCTGCGAAGGAAACTCATTTCAAGCACTTGTATCCGCGATCTCGTCCTTTCGGTCATTACCCAGAGCTCATGACCAGAGGTGAAAGTAGGAACGAAGACTGACCGGTAAATTGAGAGCTTTGCCCCTCTTCACCACAACGGTCTGATACAGCGACCGCATCACTACCGACGCTGCATCAATCCGCCTGTCAATCTCACGCTCCGTCCTCCCCTCACTCATGAACAAGACCCTGAGATACTTGAGCTCCTCCACTTGAGGCAAGGACTCTCCACCCACATGGAGAGGACAAGACACCTTTTTCTGGTCAAGAACCATGGCCTTGGACTTGGAAGAGATGATTCTCAGATTTTGAGTTTGAGATTCTTTATGATATATATATATATATATATATATATTATATATATATATATATATATATATATATATATATATATATTTTTTTTTTTTTTTTTTTTTTGGAGAGAATCACTTTTAGTATAAGAATTTAAAAGCAAACGGAAACGGTGGATTGAATATATGGAAATGGTGGACTGAATATATAAATACTGTAAGACCAGACCCATTACTTCATTTTTCTTGCAACTGACTGTAATAATTATTCATTATTATTATTATTATTAATTTTTTCTTCTTCTTTTAATTAATTCATCCTTTGCAAGTATCAAAGGCACACATGCAGGTTGTATTTGTCTTTTTCTTACTATTTAAAAAAAGAAAAAGAAAGAATTACAAAAAAAAGCAAATGTCATCACAGCAAAGAGCAGTGCAGCTGTCAGCACCTACCATGGACAGCTGTAGGTAAAGTAAAAAAATTGTGCCAAAATGACTAAACAATGCTGCTGAATCCTACATGTATCACTTAATAAGAAAAAAAAAAAAAAAAGAAAAAAAAAGAAATAAGTACAGAGCAGTGGGCATGTATCAGTGGCACTGAAAACGGGTTGATGAACAAAATGGCATCTTGAAAATAAGTGATTAAAGTGACTCAAACATGCACGACACACTCCAAATACAACTTCAGGTGAGTAAATGGTGAGAGGAAACTACTATAACATGGTTAAAAACTCTAAAAAGTCAATTTTGCAGAATAGGTGTGCTTTAATAGACCTACAGTATTTCAGTGTTTTGTCAGTCCTTTTGGGTGCATTTAAAATGTGAACTGCAGCTATGTTTTTGATAAAAATACTAAAGAGTACCAACTCAAAGCTAAAGAAAAGTTCAAAAAGTGTGTTTTACCGGCGTCAGGGGGCAGGTAGAAGTTGAAGATGGCGATGATGGTGATGAGGATGCAGGGCAGGATGATGTTGATGGCGTAGTAGAGCGGCTTCCTCTCGATGATCAGGAAAAAGGCCATGTTCTCGTAGCCGTCGTAGTCCAGGTACTTCCTGCTGGGCTTGTGGCGGATGTGCCACTCCCCGCTCTCTATAAAACAGCACAAGAACGCACATGCACGTACAGCTGTTAGGCCTTTTGCTGGAGTTGATATCATTCTGGGGGTGTTCTACATGTGTCTCTGTGGTAGAATGTTCAGCAGTTACCATGGAGACACAATGCACATATCAGCAAACACTGCCAAAAAAGTTTTAAAGTGGTCTGAAAATGCAAGAAAAAAAGGGGATTTAATACATTTTCAGGAGCCTGTGATCAGTACAAGTGTTCATGGTCCTGTTCAGTGGGATGCAACGATACGGTTTCCCCATGATTCGATATCTCCATACACAGGTCACGATATTAGTTTGATTTGATTTTAATTGTTTTAAGATGGAAAAAAAAAAAAAAAAAAACGTGTGTAATTTAAATATAATAACACTAGGTTGTTAATGAAACATTACACTCATTACACACAACACACTACAGTAAAACTCGTGTACAACTGTAGTTTATATGTGAAGTGTTTTGGTTCATTTCGTTCAGTGATTCACAGCTCAGAATTTTGATTCAATGAAAATAAGAACAGAGTTTCTCAGACTGTTTTATATTTTAAAATAAACCAGTCGACTCTTAACACAGACTGTAGGGGAGTTACACAATCAAACTTTTCCTTTTTGATGATGATTTGATGATTTCTCTCTCTTTCTTGCTGGGTTCAGACGCCTCGTGTCTGTGTCGGAGCTGTTCTGCCTCCTCCAGCAGAGACAGTACGTAGCTCCTCCCACACTGCCCCCTACAGTCCATGCTCTAACAGACACACTGTAAAGTATTTAAAAATTCATATCTTTGTCATTCCTGGGTCTATCAACCTAAAATAAAAAGCGAGTGAAAGATCAAACCCTCCTCTGTTAGAATATTTGATCTGTAAGTCTCTATGTTGCTGTTTTCTGCTGCATCTGAGGAGGACGCCAAGAGAACTGTGACTCTTTCAGACAAAACGACAACACATGGAGCACATGGAGGGACACGTGCACATCAACACATGTTTTCTGTCATCTCGTTTTTATTTGGTAAGATTTTGTATTATTTGGATTTCACAGACAAGCCTAAATGTTTCAAATGTAATGAACAGGCTTCCATATAATATCAAATATACAAAGTGTAGATTGTGCAGAGTCGAGTCTCAGGTCTGATCTGATTCTGGTCTGCTTCCTGTTTTGTCCAGTTCATTAAGTTACACATTCCAAGACCAAACTGTGAAAAGTCAAGATTTTCAACAATGATGGTTCATGTTTAGAAAATTTTGGTGTTTTACAAGTTCAGTTCAAACACTACACATTGAAATCAACACAATCTGATCCCTCCACACATCCTGGATCTTATTCTTACTCTTAGTTCATTTGATAATGTTTTATAGAAGTATTGAATCGGGACTCGGTATTATACTCGGTATTATACTCAAAATCAAATGACTGGAACTCAGGGGCAAAACAATGTGATTGGGACATCCCTAATATCGAATATCGTTGCATCCCTACTGTTGAGATCGACTCACTGAAAAACTGCTGGTTAAAAGTATTATATTTAGGGTGTCAAATTATCGCGTTAATTGCGATTAATTAATTACAGTCATATTTAGCGCGTTATGTTTTTTAATCGCGTTAATCTCATTTTTAATCTCTAACTTTACTGTTTCTGTATGCGAGTTGCTTTATTATAAAATCTGTTTTTATGCGTTGCTGGGACAACAACAACACACACACAAAAACACATTTATAAATTTTTTTATTTCGGTAATTCCACTCATTGCCGGAAACCCACACAAAACGCGCGCAGTAAGAGCGATGTAAACATTATGGTAACGTTGGCGGCGTCAAGTCACAATGGACGAGGTCGAAAGAGCCAGTAGAACAGAAGCAGCATCGCACAGGTAAAAACACATTCGTGTCTTGGAAATTATTCTCCCGTATATATATATATAAATATATATATAAAGAAAATAACAAATATAATATCGCCTACAACTTAAATGTCACTGGTGAAAACAACCTGCATAGATTCATGATGTCTGCAACTGTCCTAGAGTGACCTGCCACATGAGGGGACACGCACACAAACACACACAAACACACACAAACACACACACAACACACACAAACACAAACACACACCTTCATCATCGTCATTAACCTGAGAACGCGCGGACCACGTTTCCTTCCGTAGTTACTGTGTGGACACTGACGTGCTCCCGTGAGCCGCGTGTGGATCGTGTTTTCTCGCGTACGCGGCGTAAACCGCGCTTCCTCCTGTGCCTCTAAACCAGAACTAACACCAAGACTAAAACCAGGACTAATCCAGTCCAGGACTAAACCAGGTCTAAACCAGGTCTAAACCAGGACTAAACCAGAACTAAACCGAACTAAAACCAGAACTAAAACCAGAACTAAAACAGGTCTAAACCAGGACTAAACCAGGACTAAACCAGGACTAAACCAGGTCTAAACCAGGACTAAACCAGGACTTAACCAGGACTAAACCAGGACTAAACCAGACTTAACCAGAACTAAAACCAGAACTAAAACCAGTAAACACCAGGTTAACCAGAACTAAACCAGGTCTAAACCAGGACTAAACCAGGTCTAAACCAGGACTAAACCAGGACTTAACCAGAACTAAAACCAGAACTAAAACCAGGTCTAAACCAGGACTAAACCAGGACTAAACCAGAACTAAAACCAGGACTAAACCAGGTCTAAACCAGGACTAAACCAGGACTAAACCAGAACTAAAACCAGAACTAAAACCAGGTCTAAACCAGGACTAAACCAGAACTAACACCAGGACTAAAACCAGGATTAATCCATTCCAGGACTAAACTAGGACTAAAGTAGGACTAAAGCAGGTCTAAACCAGGACTAAAACAAGGACTAAAACAAGGACTAAAACCAGTGATCTCATATATAAAGCATTTCTCTATCAATAATATTTTTAATATGGTTAAGGAAAGACTGGACTTTTTATTGTCTTTAAGTAGACAAAAGTTATTATGTTCAGATTTTCTCGTCTTTGCTACTTTACAGCAAACAGTTTCTTATTCATGGAGACTTGGGCTCAACAGACAATTTGGAGAGATTTGTTAAACAATAAATGACTTTATAAAGTCACTTTTTTTTCTATATCAGTCTTTTGATCTGCCACAATAATGTAATAATGAATTTAAATGAAAATACCTCAAATTGAAGCTTTTCTCAGCAATTTTTAGATGAGATTAAAATGAGATTAATTAGATTAATTAATTACAGATCATAATTAATTAATCTATCAATTTTTTTAATCACATGACAGCACTAATTATATTACAAAAAATGTACTCTTGTGAGTTTAAGCCACATTAGAATGTTGTTACCTCCACAAAAACAGACCTGGAGTTGTGTTTTGTTTCAGTGACACATGTTTGAGTAACTCTTTATTATTAGTGTGTCTATATCTCCAAAGCTCCAAATGCTCTGTTCCACCTTGTGATGTCATGAAAAAGTAGTTTTCAAGTGAACAGCTCCTTTTACGTTTAATTCAGTAAAGATTTGCAATTCCAAGGCTGAAATTATCCAAATGATTCTACTGAAGGTGTGTGGAGCTTAAAAACACAGAGCACTTTCTGTATCCCCATATGACATCACAAGGTGGAACAGAGTGTTTTCTCAGCCTAAATGTGCAGGGTTTGTGTGTTAAACATGTGTGCATGAAACAAAACACAACTCCAGGTCTGTTTGTGACGAAGAAACAGACAATAAAATAGCGTAATTAAAGTTATGGCTCTGTGAGGAGGTCAGACTCACCACTGAAGGCCTCGTCCAGAACAATCTCCTGAATCTGTCGGTCGTTGGAGTCCAGGGAGTACTGGATTTCGATCTCTGAGGCGTCGTACGTGTACGAGCGGAACACCATACTGCAGTTCTGCCAGTCGAACGGAAAGTACTCCACCTGGATACACACACAGGCTTTATGTAACAGTGTTATCTCTTAAAGGTGCATTGTGTAACTTTTCTGGTGGTGGGTCCGTCAAATGCTTTTCTCCATGGAGATGTTATTGCTTTGTCTGGAATGTTACTTTTAGACAACATGGGCTTTGTAAATCATATTGTTTAAAGGGGTATTTTACTTCTATGGGGCATTAACTGTAACAAATCACGTATTTTGATCACCTTGTTATTTTTTATTGTTTTAAAAATGCTATATTGGCCAAAAACAACATATTAACATGTTTGACTTTAGTTTTTGATGCTCTTAGCCACCTCTACTTTCACTCAAGCATGCATGAAAAAAAAAAAAAAAACTTTGTATAATACCCCCTCTTTAAGTTAACAACAATGTACACACAGAGGCCACAAGAATATCTGCTGGTACACTGAGTGCTAATGAGTGAAAACTGAAAAAAAAAATACATATATTTACAATAAGGGCTGTTAGAGATATGAGACATACCTTAATACATAGGCTATGATACCCTGATACAGTGAGCTTTCGATTTGATACAATATATTTCAAATCAATTTGATACGGTTCAATAAAAAATAAAGGCTAAATGATGTCTGTGATAGTAAAAGTCTTTGTCACTTTATCACTACTTGTGTAAAGTTCATCTGAAACACAAACATTTTAATCATCAAAACAGTGAAAATGTCAAATGTGTCACATAAACGAGTTTCCTTCCTCTAAACAAACAACAAAACTGTATTTCGAATTTCGGACTTCCGATCATTGCACAATGCATACTGGGGAGGATTTTCCGAAAAATTGTACAATGACTGGAACTCCAAAATTCGTGATGCATCTATAGAACAACTTCTATATGCCTGCTGACCCATAGGGGGTGCTGTGTGGTCACTGACCTTGACCTGGCAGGAGCTGAGGTACAGAGCGGGGGGCGTCCATGTCACTTTGCCGTTGTAGTAAACCTGGACGTGCACGTGAAGGGCCACGTCGAACACTCCGTCATTACTGCACACAACACATAATATAATAACGTAAAAAACGCACCAGGGGCGAATCTGAAACTTGTTATTTAAAAATATTTCACTGAATATTCCATTTAAAATGTATTTAAAAGATCGCTAGATTACTTGAAGGGACAGTTTAGATTTTTTTTTTTTTTTACATAGGGCCTCATTTCCTAGTGAGCCAGAGTACTGCAGATGTGTGGAGACACTTTTTGAAATATTCCATCCAGTCCTTGTATTTGGAGAGGTTGCTGGTGCTAGGCTAGTGCATGTCAATGGCCATAGTTAGCCTGCCACTAAAGCTTAACCACTCCTCAAAACATCTGAAGCAAATCTATTAATACACCAGACTGTCCATGTAAATGTCTATGTCAGTAGAACAATTTTAGAAGTAAAACTAACCTTGTATGGCATGAATTGTCGCATGTTGAGGGACTATTTTCTCAGCAGCAGCGTAATTATACTCTGCTCTAGTTAGTTGTGATGAAGTGAACTTGGCCATAACTGGAACGGCTTCTTCCTGTGCTCTATGTGTCGCTATGGCAACTGCAGGTAAACAAACTATTACAGAGCCAGTTGGTGCTCGGTGATATCAGTCCTCCGCTGCTGAGCTTTCTATCAGGAAGTACAACTCACTGCTGCTGCTCACACATAAACCCTTCAAATACAAGGTTGGTTTTACTTCTAAAATTAATCTATTGACACAGACACTCACATGGACAGTCTGATGTATTAATATATTTGTTTTGGGTGTTTTATGGAGTGGGTAAGACTGTTTTTATTGGCAGGCTAACTATGGCCATTGACTTGCACTAGCCTAGCACCAGTGACCTCTATAAATACAAGGACTGGATGGATTATTTCAAAAAGTGTCTCCACATATCTACAGTACTCTGGCTCACAAGGAAATGAGGCCCTATGTCCAAAATTCCCAACTGTCCCTGTAAACATACCTCTTCAGGCATGTTTCTGATGAAGAAACAATATAACATGGCAGAAAGTTCCAAAAAGTTGATGTTGTTTAATACCTCCTCTATAATATTTTTCAAAGATGTTAAAAATATGAGGTGCTCACACTTCTCGCCACTTCTTGAGGTCAAAGCTGTCAAAGTGTTTATTGATATCGCCGTCATAAAAAGGCTGTTTATTATTGCGTCCATAAAAGGCCTTCCCCTCAGTGACTTTGAGCAGACCTAATGTTCCTCCAATCACCATAAAGGCTAAATCAATAACTTATAAAAGGCATCATTAAATATTTAGGCATCATTAAAACAAACTTTTCCATATGTCTTTAGGTGGGTTGTCTTTGTAAAGCCAGAGCGTCCTCATTGTGCACGAGATTTATTTTTGTGTAGGAATTTATACAGTACACTGTTAAAGGCTCATTTAAACCGCCGCTATAAAAAGTTATAACAACCACCGCTGAACCTTTATCTCCAGAGCATTAACCTGCAGACAGAGACACATCCTGCATTTGTCTCATTCTCAGTTTATGTTCAGGTCTCTTGTGAATCTCAGAACCTCCAGAATTCCCTCGGTGAGCTGCAGAGGCTGCACTAGCACTGACTCAGAACTGGAGCAGGTGCTGGGGTTTAGGGAGTGACCGTTCAGATCAGAGAGAGACATTTTAGATTTAAACCAACTGCAGTTCAACACTGAAATTGGAAACGCAAATGAGAAAGTTATGCGTGGCTTGAGAACCAAAACAACAAATTATAAACAGAAACAACTTGGCTGTTATATTCAATGTTTAATTAAAGGTCCCATATTACGGAAAATAGACTCTTGTGAGTTTTAAGCCATGTTAGAATGTTTCCTCATCAAAAACAGACCAAGTTGTGTTTTTGTTTCATTCACACATGTTTGAGTAACACTTTATTATTAGTCTGTCTACATCTCTAAAGTGTTGACAAAAAATGTGGAAAAATATTATAGAGTCAAACCAGATTTTATTTATTTATTTATTTATTTTTTAATTAAGTGCGACTTGTATGTGATCTCCAGTGTGAACTTTAAACGCCTCAAAAGTGTCCCGCGTGAGCATTGGAGGACACCACGATGTCACACACAGAGAGCGTGTTCTGTGATTACAGAAGTTGCCTAAACATGAACGCAACATTGACCTGGAGATTTTAAAGCTGCTTTCGTACCAGAGCCAGAACATGTTCAGACTATTTGTTTTAAAGGGTCCATCTCATGCAATATCAACTTTTCAGAGCTTTATACCTTCTAAGAGTGATGTGTGGGCATTGTATATGTCACCCAAGTGTTTATTTTTAGATTGATTCAGTGTTTTTTTAACAAATTGCAGTGTATTTCTGCCACCCTCCCACGTGACAACGAACTAAAGCTGCTACAACGATGATGCTGCATATACACCTATGACGCATCTGACATAGCAGAAAACGCTTTGCACCTGCCCCCCTCCACCCCGCATCATCTGACAAAAGCGACAGCAAAAGCTCATTGTTCTACACTGCAGTGAACATGATATAATAAGTTGATCTACTAGTGTTTATTAATATTTTACCAATCTGTAATGTTCAGCTGATGTGGACGTGGTGCTTGAGCTTCGTGCACCTCAAAGTCCTCGTCCAATTCCGGGTTCAACACTTGTGGCTGATGAATAAAAGTTTATTCCTACCACTATCAGGGTGCACACCTGTCTCCCCCTCCCTCCCTGAGATGGCGGAGGAAGGGCGGCTCACTCGTCGCCTACGTCACGTTTGGAGGGTGGAGCCTGTGCTTTCTCAGGACGGGTGGGGGGATGAGCAATAGTCGACCTTTCATAGTTCCTGGTCTGTGACTGTCTCCAAGAAATCAGTAAGATTTCAGAACTATTGTGTAATGGATGTTCCAAAACCCAAATTGTGCTTGTTTATGTGCAGAAGATACAATGTGAAAAGAATTATTTTGCATGAGATGGGCTCTTTAAAGAGGAGATTGAGAAGGAGAAGGGTGAGGTTTTTGGTCATGGTGTTTTGTGGGGCAGTCGCAGCAACATCCATAGAAAGTGAAGTGTGGGTGTGGAGTCACAGAGTGGTGGGATTGATCTATGCTTCACTGCTTCACTCACAAGGAGTTCAGACACAGTTTTTGTATGATGAGAAGAATGTTTGTGTACATTTGTGACGTGAAGGTGGGATGAATGTGACCTGGCCGTTCCGACTGAAGTCACATGTCAAAAGATCAGATATGTATGGGTTTTAGGAGCACATATCCAAGTGGTCTGGGTCACATTTGAAAAATGTGATCTGTGTTATTCAGACTGTCATTAAAAGATCAGATACAGGAGCATAGGGGCCAAAAAATCAGATTTGGGTCACTTCAGGCTGCAGTCTGAACAGAGCCTAAAAGCGTCTAACTGAGGTTTCTGAAAGTGTGAGGGAGTCTGAGGTCTGAGCGTCTAACAAAGCCTTTGTATAGTCTAATTATAAATGTTATATTTTTAGCTGATACATTAGTCTGGGAATATTCCGGAGCTCCTGCAGTTTGTATCATAAAACAGAGCAGCATTCATCAGGTTACTGAGCAGAACATTTTGGGCTTTAAATGGAACAAGCATTTAGTATGAATTGAGTACAATAAGATTATTGTTCACGAAAGCTCAAAACATTCTGTTCCACCTTGTGATGTCATCAAGTGATCATTTTCAAGTCAACAACTACACTTTTTACATTTAGTTCAGATTGGCAATTCCCTGGCTGAAATTATCCGAATGATTCTAATGAAGGTGTATGGAGTGGAGCACTTTCTGTATCACCACGTGACATCACAAGGTGGAACAGAGTGTTTTCTGTTTGAGAGAAGAACTGTGAATGAAACAAAACACAACTCCAGGTCTGTTTGTGATGGAAAAACTTTATCACAGAATAAATCAGCATTAATATTCTGATTTGAACATGTTTACTTCATGTCTGGGTGCATAAATAAGTCAAGTTTATGAAGTTTAAAACCCAAATCTTCCAGGTGATTCCTTCAACACAGCTCTTTTGCACGATGTGTGTGTGTGTGAGTTGTGCGTACTGACTTGTTGATGAGGACGATGTCTGGGAGCCACACTTTAGCGGCGGGGATCCTCAGCACTGTGATGCCCTCGTACTGTTTGGGGTTCCACTGGAGCCTGTAGTCTGTCCAGGCCTGGTCACACCAACACAACATGTCCGCACATCAGACCACATTTTTGACTGTCAAATTTACATGCCACTCAAAAAATAAAAAAAAAATTTAAATAAAAAAATGCCAGCAGCTCCCTGACACCCCTTCCTGCAGTGCTTGAGTGACGTCAAGGCTTGGTTGGCACATAAATGTTTAATCTTAATGAGGGCAAGACTGAAACAATAGTGAGTGGCCCTATGACCTCCAAACTGATACGGGTTAGGGTTAACGCAGTGGCTACAGTTGGAAAAAGCCGCTGAGAACAGCTGCGTTGGTCGAGGAAATGCCGTCTTGTGTTTGTGGAATGTGTGAGAAGCGAATGTAAACCACGTAATTCCAACGCACCGGCGACTCAGTTACGCTAGAAACGTGCGGAGTTCGATTGACAACCTGACAATGTTTATCTGGCCCCACCATGTCCACAGATTTTTTATTTTTTTTCACACAATGCTGAATTTATTTACAGAGAACTGAAAACTTAACAACACAACTTTGTCGAGCTGTTACAGAAGACATATTGTGCTTGTATCTGTGACAAAGTACAACATACTTAAGTACACATTTGAGGTATCTGTACTTTACTTTTTAATTTACAGTGGATACTTTTGCCTTTTACTTTTACTTCTCTACATTTGAGAGTAGGCATTTGTATGTTCTACCCCACAACATTTTAGATCTGGACTGAAAAGTAAAAAGTACTTTTCTTTAGCCGGTGGACGCTTCTTTACATCGGTGAAACCTCCATAGATTTTTAATTTGAGTTCACTACAAACAAACTTTGAGCAAACCAAATACACAAAAGCGGCTAGAAAAATTAAGAAATCAGTTGAATCACTTGAAATCTGCAAAACTCTTTTTCAAAATCACATTTCATCCTTTAATTGTAATTTAAGTACATTTTTAAACAAGTACTTAAAGTAGATTTTTTTCATGTGATACTTTTATTTTTTCCATCTATTTATTTATTTAAACTAATAGTAAATAATAATAATTATCTTTGTCCCACGTCCACAGTTGATGGATAATTGTGTCATAATTACAAGGCTGCTGCAACTATAATGCTATTTTGAAATGTCATTAACAATTTGAAACAATAAAAAAAATCCTCCAGACAAACTTTAATATTGACACAAATATTCTGAATTCTAAAGTGGTATAAACTTACCAAATCCATGACAACAATTGTGCTCATCTCTTCATTTTTCATATTCTACAAAAAAGAAAGCAAAAATCAGTAAAAATAAGTAAATAAATAAGAAGAAGAAGAAAAAAGTGTCACATTGTTTACTTTTTATTTTAAGATTTCATTCACTGTAAATATTCCCCAACACAATTCCGGGAGGTGGGCCATTTCCTGATCAGAGCGTTCTATTTAAAACTCACGAGGAATGTGTGTGAGACAGCTGGGGCTCTGTGTGTGTGTGTGTGTGTGTGTGTCTGTGTGTGTGTAGAGTGTGTGTACTCTGGGCTAGTATTTCATCTCAAACAACTATCTATTTATTGTGAATACTACTACTGCCACTACTACTGGATAATGGTATTGGGAATTATTTAGAGTTAATAAAATCTTGTAGTAGTAGTAGTAGTGGTGCAGAGGGGATAGTAGTAGTGGTAGTATTAGTAGTAGTAGCAGTAGTTGTAGTAGTAGTAGTGCATAGGAACTAGTGGTAAAAGTAGTAGTAGTAGTAGTAGTTGTAGTACCAGTAGTGCAGAGGGGATGGTAGTAGTATTAGTAAGGTATTGGTATTAGTAGTACTGCATAGGATCTAGTAGTAGTAGTAGTAGTAGTAGTAGTAGTAGTAGTAGTAGTAGTAGTAGTAGTAGTAGTAGTCATAGTCATAGTAGTAGTAGTGCAGAGATGGTAGTGTTAGTAGTAGTAGTTGTAGTGCACAGGGGATAGTACTACTACTACTACTACTACTAGTAGTAGTAGTAGTAGTAGTAGTACTACTACTACTACTACTAGTAGTAGTAGTAGTAGTAGTAGTAGTAGTAGTAGTAGTAGTAGTAGTAGTAGTAGTAGTAGTGCACAGGGGGTAGTAGTAGTAGTAGTAGCAGTAGTAGTAATAGTAGTAGTAGTAGTAGTAGTAGTAGTAGTAGTTCAGAGGGAGTGTTTTACTTCTTTGAGGTTTAACTGTAACACAGTATCACATATTTAGATCATTTTATATTTATGGAGAATTGTACTGTTGAATAGGGCTTGGGAGAGATCACTAGATTACTCAAACTCACATGGGTCATATCTAAAACCTCGTCAGGCGTGTTTTTGATGAGGGAACAACATTATAACACGGTAACGCTCCAGAAAGTACATTTAGCACATTACTCCTTCTCTTCAAAATGTAAAATGCATGAAAAAAAAAAAAGAAAGAAAAGTACTGAACCAAATGTGTGAGTCCAGCTCCAGGTTAATGCTAATAATAGTTAGCACGGAGGAGGCTAATGCTACATGTAAGTGGGTCAGTGTTCAAGAGCGTTGTGTTCGGACACCCCCGGGCCCTGGGCACTTCCTCTGGGGAACAGTGGGGGAGAGAGTGGGTCACCTTGACTCGTGCTATAGGGGGAGTCGGCTCCTATAACATGGACGGGAAGAACACAATGCATTTATCTGGCCTCTTTACCACAGCCCACTTCATGAAATAGAGTTACATAACACTGAGAAAATATATATGTAACAATCTATATTTTAAAAGGCAATAAATATAAGATAAAGTCAATTAAAGGTTCTATATGACACTGCAGTGACTCTTGTGAGCTTTTAGTCGTAATGCTGTTACTTCATCAAAAACATACTCAAAGTTGTGTTTTGTTTCATTCACATTTGTTTGAGTAACTCTTTATTATTAGTCTGTTTACATCTCCAAAGCTCAAAACATCCTGTTCCACTTTGTGATGTCATGAAGCAATAGTTTTCAAGTTGACAACTACCTTTTACGTTTGGGCTGTGTTCAGACTGAAGTGACCCAAATCAGATTTTTCCATCCCGTGCTCCTGTATCTGATCTTTTAATGACAGTCTGAACCACACAGATCTGATTGGCATTGGTAATGCCACATTACTGTGTTACAGAAAAAAGCAAAGCATTACAGTAATTTGTTACTTTTCTAACGCGTTACTCCCAACACCAACGCAGAACTCCACGCTCCACGGAACGAACCACAGCTGACGCCCGATCGCGCCTCGCAGACACCCTGTTCCACGGGCTCTGGGTTCTCTCAGGGGCACTCCTAGATTCCAAGTTCTAATCCAAGATCAGTCCTGGTTTGGACCTGCCTTAATCTTGGTTTAGTCCTGGTTCAGTTCTGGTTTAGTCCTGGTTTAGTCCTAGTTCAGTCCAAATACGGCACAAAAGTTCAGCATCTTCAAAGCTATTTTGGTGAGAGGAACTTAAAAGTAAAGCAACAGTTGTGTAATGCCTTACATTTTAATTGTAATGTAACAAATGACAGTAACAAGTCATAAATAACACATTACAGTTTTAAAGTCACTTGCCCAACAGTGATTAAACCTTTCTATCTTCATGGAGACCAAACCAGACCAAGTTACAGGTCAGATACATGGAAAGGTGACTCCGCTCACAGTCAGTTTTCTAGGTATTTTTGAGCTATAAAACCACCTGTAACTGAATAAATGTAAGGTAGAGCTGTTTAATGTCATACTGCGGAACATTTCAGGCACAGCAATGACATCTCCCCAACCAAAAATATGTAAATGAGATGCTTTCTTCTCACCAGTCCGACGAAGGAGGAGAGCACCAGGCCGATCCGCACCACCACCCTGTCCGTGGGGTCCAGAGCGGGGCGCACCTTCTGGTTATAGTTACTGAAAATGGCCTTCAACAGGGTGTTCTCCATCTCCGTCGCCCCTGACAACGACATCAAGAGATTAGCACATCTGAAAACTGCAAATTTCTCTGATCTCGCCAAGATTTTAAAGCTTATATCAGGATATCTGTCTTGTTTTCAGGTTTATTATGAACTCACTAGTTCTGAGATGCTTCATTCTAGTCTAGAGTTTGTTTATTTTAAGAGAACTTGTCAAGTAAAATGATCTTGCTGCACGGACAGATCATTTCACTACTTTGAAGTCATGATTTCTGATAAATTTAAGTGTTTATATCTTAAATTTTGGCTAAGCTTTTTTGCAGTGAACAAAGAGTCCAGTGGTTCTCAACATACAGGTCGCCAAATGATTTCAGGGAGTCCTCAGATAATATGTGGTAAAACGGAAAATGTATGTAGTAGTCCTGACTAGGGGTTAGGGCTGGGTATCATTAAAAAGTTACCGATACGATACATACCTCGATACATAGGCCGTGATACAATATCTCAATACAGTGGACTTTAATTTAACAGAATATATTTCAAATCGATTTGATATGGTTCAGTAAAAAAATAAAGGCTAAATCATGTCTGTGATACTAAAAGTCTTTGTTAAACCACTTCGTGTGCAAAATTCATATGAAACACAAACATTTAATCCTCAAAACAGTGACAATGTTAAATGTGTCGAATGAAAAAGTTTCCTTCCTCTAAACAGGCAACAAAATTGTAGCGCTGTAACAAAATAATTCCGTAAAATATACCAAAAAAATACTCTTGGCGATATATTGATACAACAGTCCATGATATTTCAATATTATGTATCAAAATATTGCTATATTGTATTGTTTAATGTTATGATACAGTATCAATATAGTATAGTATAGTATAGTGTAGTATTTTTTGGTATATTTTACTACTTTTGTGAAAGAGCTGCAATTATATTGCTTGTTTGGAGAAAGGAAACTGAATGCAATACAATTTCACTGTTTTGATGAGTAAAATTTGTGTTTTTGTTTGTTGTTTTTTTTTTTTATCTTTGCACAAAATTGGTGGTTTAATAAAGACTTTTAGTATCACAGCCATGATTTACCCTTTTTACTTTTTTGATCTAGTGATTAGTGATGATTTTGTTTTTTACTGAACCGTATTTATGGAGTAAGAAAGCTTTCAGAAATATTTGTGTCCATAGGATAGAAATCTGTGCATATTTGGCTGTAGTTGAGCATAAAATATTCATAAAACTCTTGAATGAGTCCAATCGAACATAGAATGTATGTATGTGTATTTTATCTATCAACTAACATCAAGAATTACAATGACAAATTGAAAATTTACAATTATGCTTTCTTCAGTACAAATACGATTTCACAGACGCGACTCAACTGTGAAAAGTACGTCATCACTTCACAGGAACAGGAACATTGGACAGAAGAAACATTGATCGAGATGCCGGACTTTTGCATCATATACGGACTGAACCAAGACTAAACCAGGACTAAAACAGGACTGAACTAGGACTAATCCCAGGAATGAACCAGGACTCAAATATAGCCAAATATGCACAGATTGATAAGAATAAGAAAATACATTTTTTTTAAAAACAAACATACAAAATCATATCTCAACACCTGATACTTTTCGTATCAAACACCATTAACTGAACAACTTCCTCTTTACTGTTAGGTTTCTAAAATTAGCCGTGGCTCTCTAGCTCCAGCCTCCACATCGCCAGTATTTACATGTCAGCTAATCAGACTTACCCCCAATGCTGCTGACGCTCCACAGACAACATGCCAACAGGAACCAGTCCACGCTCCTCATCCCGCCACGTCTCCAAACGTCCAAAAAACACGATCTTCTCAACAATCCAGCTCCTTCAGTGGCTTCTCCTCTTTGTTTCTTGGCGTTTGGAGCTAACTTTTGTACCCACTGTTGTTGCCCGTCAGCCACATGAGCCAGGCCAACTGCAGCCTCCTCGGGTTACAGCAGGGACGGGGGGGTACAGAGTGAGGAGTGGGGCACTATTGGTCTACTCTAAGTGTTTGAAAGGTAGTACATTAGCCAAAAAATATACTGAAGTAAAAGTAAAGGTGGAACTTTTACTCAGGTACATTTAGCTGAGTACCTTCTGGAAGGAGTAATACATTTCAACGTACTTTTCTAGCAGCGTGTTTTTAGTCCTGAGGAATGTTTTTGTTGAAAAAAAAAAAAAAAGTGAACTATGTGATTATGTAAACTGGGGTAGGACTCAATAAGTTTTTTAAACTTCATCCTACTCCTTTTGAGCACCAGGTCCCAAATATGTCATGTATATATCACTATTTTTGTTATTGTTTTTGAATTTTGTTGTACCTGGCTCAAACAAAGAAATAAATGAAATGAAGTAACAGTACTCTTACTTGAGTAAAAGTTGTGCTTCCTCTTCCCACTGTGAGGAAGTGCAAGTGACAAAAGTTTAATGTGACAGTATGACATTATTTGAGCTAGGGTTGTTTCGATACCACTACTGGTGTTGGCAAAAGCTCAGATACAGTACATTTTTCAGATATGGTATTGGCGAGTACTCAGACCAAATATACCATTCTGTATTTCCCACAATTAGCATTTTCAGGCCAACAAAGGACTGTGCCGGTTCCTGCACCTGATCTCAAACCGACTGATGTGTTTATGCCGAAATTCACAGTGTTCGGGAACTGAAATGTCGGTTCCCACTGGGAACCAAGTAAAACTAGTTTTTTCCAAGTGAACCATGATGACAAAGTAGACATCAGGACTTCCAGGTCACACGCTGTAAAATAAACAAACAAAGAAAATGTGTGTGTGAAATATGGAGGAGAAAATCAACTGACAAGAAGATTGTGCAGTGGTCAGAGGAGGAGACCAAATATTTGCTCTATCCGTGCTCGCCCAGTAAGGTTTCATCTTTGGATTGGGTGTCGCTGCCGCCTTCTCCACAGCAGATGTTGTAGCAGAGCTTGGTGCAGATAAATCATCATTTGTAAGAGTACAAATACTCGCTGGTGTCCATGATGCGATTCATAATTCTTATTTTCCCCGCTGTTACATCCACTTTCGTATGGCCTTGTTTTTATTTGGTAGCAAATCCACAACCATCTGTTGATGACTTATCATGAGATCTTAAACTCTTAAAACACGCTAATAATGACAGAAAAGATATTTGTGTCACATTTTTGATACCTTCATTTTGCCTTTAGTGTGGATGCTAAATGCAGTAGAAAAACTGCGCTACAGAGAGTGCAGCCCAACAACAGCAACAACAGCACTAACTCTGACTTTGTTTACTTGACAGAATCAGCCATGTGCTCTGAGGACAAGTGTCTTTTTTACAGGCTTCACTGATGGTTTTATCCATGCTGTGGTAGAAAAGTATAAGTGCTTAAATCAGCACTACTTATGGTCAAAATCATTATATATTTGACTCATTTATTCTCCAGATTTTCTTTAGATATAAACTTTTAGCAGATTGATTTATTGTTCTTATACTGTAACAAAACCTTAATCTACTTCTTAACACTATGTGGTATCGGACTGATATCGGTATCGGCGAGTACACTAAGGCCAAGTATCGGCATCGGTATTGGATCTCCAAAAAATGTTATTGGAGCAACACTACTCTGAAGTTTTGTGTTTCTTGCAGATGACATTAACGTACAAATTATAAATAATGTGTTACATTACGGCAGTTCATCTTTCAGTTCCTCTTATTTAAATAGTAGTTTTTCTCAAATACTTTTTTACTCTTACTAGTATTTCTTGGACCACTATTTTATATTTTTATTTCTCGAGTAATATTATGCTGAAGTAAAATTTTTGGCTACTCTACACATAACTGAGTAAGAGTAATATTACTGCAAAATAATATTACTCAAAGAGAAAGACAAAGTGGTGGTGCAAGAAACAAATATAGTAAGAGTATGAATACAAAGAGTAAAAAAAAAAAAAGAAAAGAAAATCACCCTTATGTAACAGATAATACTCCCTACAACTATACAACAACTCACACTTATGGAACAAATAATGCTCCCTACAACTGTAAAACAATTCACCCTTATGTAACAGATAATACTCCCTACAACTGTAAAACAACAATGTAACAGATAATACTCCCTACAACTGTACAACAAGACACTTCAAAATAATATTAGTCAAGTAGAAGTACAAAGTGGTGGTCCAAGAAACAAATATAGTAAGAGTACGAACACAAAAAGTAAAAAAAAAAAAAGAAAGAAAAGGGAAGACTACTACTCAAGGAAGAATAACTTCTACCATCTGATTTATTATTGAAATAATGAAAAATTTAAATTCAGTTACATCTGGTATTTTGAAAGAATTGACCCAAAAATGAGACAAACGAAATCACAGAAAGAAAACACAAATGTTCAAATCATTTCAGATTGTCACATAAAGCTTTTGTCACACAAGGGTACTGTTACTTCAATAAAAAATATTATTCAAATGGGAGTAAAAGTATGTTGCTGGTAAAGTACTCAGAACAGTACAATTTCTTTACAAAGTTACTCAAGTAGATGTAACTGAATACATGTAAGTACACCCTCTGATCTGTTTATGCTAATGCTATGCTCACGAAGCTTTAATAACTGTAAGAATTTATGACGTGCTGTCTGCGCCGCGTTGGTCAGAAGCCAATTTAATCACCGTAGAAGCTAACTATTAACAGCTAACGGCGACTGTAAGGGCCGAGCGGGGAGGGGACGGCTGAGGCTGGCACCGGCTCAATCTGGATTCTTTGCTTAAGTACGAGACGCAGACACATCCCACACAGTCAAGTCTACGCCTGAGTCAATATTTACATGTGCGTTTGGTGGTATTGAGACTTCGCAGCTGATGTCATCTACGTTCCCTGTGGGTGTGATGCTAACTGGAAGCATGCTCTGTCTGAAGCTCTGTTAGACTTTAATCTGAGAAAGTTTTATTTTAACCCAGGGGTATCAAACTCATTTTGGTCCGGGGGCCGTATCCGACCTACTTTGATCCCAAAGGGGCCGGATCAGAAAACTCATGTCATATATACCCCAAAAATAACAATAAGTTCAAATATTTGTGCAGAGAAACACAAATCTATTACAGAAATGTTTTTTAATTGATGAACTCTTTCTTTTACAAAATATTATAATATTATGAACAACATGAAACTTTAAGAAAAATACAATTTTCAACACAATGTTTTAACATGAACTTGTATGTAAATAGAAATAAGTACAATTTTTCTTGGGAAAATCCTGCACTCAGCTCCACTTTTCTCATGTTGGACATTTTTCTGATGAGGGTGTCACGGTCAACAGTCAAAACAATCGTCCTTTAAGAGCGTTTGGAAAGAGACAAGTCTTCATTTGTGCTGCTCTGGTGGGAGGGGCCACGTACAGAGACGCTGGAGACGCTGCTGTGATAAACACCACAGAAAATTACCAATATTTTTATAGAAAATATAATTAAAATATTTTAGTAGAAAATCAGCCGAGGGAAAGATTAAAGGTCTTGGAGGGCTGGATCCGGCCCCCGGGCCGTATGTTTGACACCCCTGTTTTAACCCAATATGAAGAGAAAGAGCTTTTATCTGTTCCATAAGGGTGAGTTGTTGTACAGTTGTAGGGAGTATTATCAGTTCCATAAGGGTGAGTTGTTGTACAGTTGTAGGGAGTATTATCTGTTCTATATGGGTGAGTTGTTGTACAGTTGTAGGGAGTATTATCTGTTACTAAAGGGTGAGTTGTTTTAGAATTTAAAGGATTTTTGGTCCTGTTTTTACGTGTTTGAATTTAAACAAGAAGGTGAGAGAGACTTGTTTAAAGGCTTGGCTAGGCTATCCCCACAGCCAATACCAACTGTCCTATGGCCAGACACTTTTTGGACTTCCATAACAGTAACCCATCTAATCTGCAGGTAGAAGGAATTGACCACATACCAGACTCTTTGTGAAAAGGAAACTGGATTGTAAAACTCAAACAGTGTGAAACCTACTGGATTTATACATTACAAGCAACAAAATATCCTGGGCTCAGTGAAGATTTGGACTTCTCTGTGTTTTTATAACTGAATTGTATTTTTTGTATATGATTTTGTAAATAATGAGTTTTTATATACCCTATGATGTCCTATCTTGTGGTGTTATTAGGTGGTGTCCACAGGTGAGTCTCCACTCCTCCTGGAGCAGCCCTATTGGTGGGTTTCTTGTATTTAATTCACATGGTTTGCTCTCAATTCTGTTTGTCTCCTGAGGAAAGCCATAGGCTGAAACGCATCGGGACTTTGTAACTTGTCCATTAAGACATTCCGTAAATTAATAAAGGCATTTTATTTTAACCAGTAAGTAGCCTAAGAGTAGCCTATCCTGTAACCTGACCTTGAAATGACATAAAATGACAAAGTCAAGGAAAAAAAAACACCAAGACACCAGCATTACAATCATACAAATATATTAGTTCATTTTATTCAATAATATCCAATAATGCGTCTCTCTCAGTTATAATAGAAATAGATACATATTGCAAATGCAGAGACAAGATTTGGGGTTCGAGTGTCCTTGGGGTGGAAGGGTAGGAGGATTTTAAAGGGAGAATAAATATATTTGATAAGTTCTTGAAGTAGTCCAGTATATGATTGGCGCATGCACCTTTAGCCCCGCCCCATTGCGCTTGTCCCCGCCTCCAGGAAGTCAAAACGTCCAGCGCTACTCCAAATCCGACCCAACCTTTTGCATGAATATATTAAGATACATTTTATATCGATTTTTTTTTTTTTTGCCGTGTTGGTATAAAAATAGTTTTGTTGTGGCTTTAACAGCTGGAAGACTCAAGTTCTCTTTTTGCATTTGAAAAGAATGTCCGTGGAAGACTTGGAAGACGGTCCATGCAGTACAAAATCCCCCCACCA